TTACAAAATATTCTCCTCATGTGATTGGATACTATCAAAATAATTGATATCAAAATTTTAAAATTATTTGTTTATGATATATTTCTTTTAATTTGTTTGAACATGTGCATTGGTTTCATTGAACCAATGGTACCTTGCATCCATCATTAAAATTGATGAACCGGTTTAAAGTGTGATTAATTAACTACGAATTGACCCTTTTATTCTTCAACATTTTAATCTATAACATAACCTTATCATTTTGCGACATAACTAGGGTATGGGTTTGAGAAAAATTTAGGACTCTATTTGGGTTTGAGCTAAGGAGGTTATTGAGATGAAAAGGGTTTTAATAGATAAACAATGCAATTGGGATGAAATTTGATGAACTAATTTGAGGACCCGATGAATTATAGCCACTGGATTACTACTGGTTCCAAGTATCAAATAGAATTCACTACAATCCAAAGGTAACAATACATTAGGTCTGCACAATCAATTTCTCAATTAGATAAAATAGCATTTATTGTCGATGCATACTTCAAATTCTTGGTGGTAAGTGCATTGTGTTAACATGTACGCTTAAGGCGAGGGAGAGGGAGATCTTTTGACAAGTGGAGATTTACATGTTGTAAGTTTAATAGAACTCAACTTAGTGTTTAGAAACTTGAAAGTCCTTTCCAGTAAATTATGGATGCACTAGCATGGAAAATAAGGGTCCTTTCACGTAAAAAATGAGATCTTAGTATTAGATTATTACTTCACATGATAGGGGTCAACTCAAACACAACACAATCATAAATAAGTTCTGGCTAGTATTAGAACATCTAACTTGATTGATTAAATGGATCGAGTTAGGGTTGGCTAATATTCCACATGAGCACCAAATGACACGATTCAAACATGACCCAACATGATTCAATTCTGGAGTGAGATCTACTCCAATACACATTTTCTCCTATTTCCTTCTTGCCGAATCATCTACCATAAATTCAAATGGGACACATTTTGTATAAGTGGTAGGTGATTTGCCAAGAAAAAAAAAGGAGGAAATTGTTTATTGGAGGGAATCATGGTCCTTCAATTGTGACCCTTATCCATGACTATATTTTTTTTTTCTATTTTACCCATTTGTCCTTCAATTTGTGGGGTCATGATTCCTTACATATTTTTTTATACAAAAAACAAAAAAAAAAAAAAAAGAGAGAGAGAATGTGGGGCCCATTTATTGAACATTGAAGAATGAAGAGATTTATTGGATCTATTATTATAGTGTGTAGATACCACTCTCAAATAACTGTTCAATAAATGGACTTATTTAATAGATATTGGCTCTATTTTATGTATTAGACATAAGTTAATTGGTGTAGGTAATATTATAATAACTTTAATAAGACACTGTTATAAATAAGTAATTACTCTAATATGACACCATTAAGGATAAGAGTGTACAGTAACCTAAACCTACACAACAGATTATTCTCTCCTCCTTTTGTCTCCTCTCTTCTTCTCTTCTTTTAAATATTTCTTTTAACCCTAATATCACTTTTATTAATTAAACTATAATAACAATCCGAAACCCAAGGATCGAAATATCACTTTGAAGTACAGTCAGCTCGAAAACAGAAACGTTTTAGAAACAAAATACAAGCACGAAAAAAATAAGGAAACACAGGAAAACACGTGAAAACACAAATACAATGCATAAGCTTAATAATTGATTAATTTCGCATGTTTATTGGATTTGCGTCCATTTATACAAGATAACATCAAGTTGAAGGGGAAAAAAAAAGGTTTGACACCAGGCGAAAATCACTTCAATTAGTTTTAAACACTTAGGTGTCGTTTAGTAACGTTTTTGTTTTCGCGTATTCAAAAAAATAAAAAACAGAGACAATTTTTGTTTTGTTTTGTGGTAAAAATTGAAAACAGAAAATATGTTTGAGAGTTATTTGTGTTTACCTTTTTATGAAAATAAAAATAACAAACATATTTGGTAATTACTTCAAGTTATTTCCTTAATATTAACTTTATAATATCTCATACAACAAAATATAAATCAAAATTCATTATTCCAACACATCCACTAATGCATCAAATAACACATAAAACAAGATAATTAGATTAAATAAGTCATTAAACATAGTAACATATCCTATTGTACAACATACTACGAAATACACACATTAATAAGTCTTATCACATAACTAAAATCGCAATAATTAGTACAAATATCACGAATAATAGTGCCAAAATAAATAACAAATTGAAACCACAAGTAAACATGAAAATAGTGATTCATTTCTTCTCTCTCCATCTTGACTTGGCTTGAGGAATCACACGATGTTTTCTCTCCAACCTCGACAACCTTATCATCATGAGTTTGTTCAAGAGTTTGTTCGTTACCCATTTTCATCTACAACAATTTTTCAATTATACTAACAATGTCCCAACCACTATGCATAAACATAGTAATCATTCACTAATACAACAATTCTATATTTTCTAAACATATATTCAACCCAACATGAATTTCAACATATACACCATATATGAATTTCAACATATACAACCTATATGAATTTCAAAATATACAACATATATTTATTTCAACACAAACAGCACACACCACACATTCAACACAAAAACAGCACACACACAAGCAGACACACTAATCACCCCGACACACGTAGAACACACCCACAAACTCAACAAACACCAACACCCATATACACTCAGCACCCCCAGCACACACAACACACACACTCAGCAAACACCAACACACCCAGCACACACCTACACACACAAACACAAACTGAGCCACCTTCATATAACCAAAAACCATTGCATTCCATGAAACTATGTCTCTTTGAGGCATTTCATCAAACACTTTATTAGCATATTCTGAAAATGTGTCTGAAGGCTTTGGTAAGAAAAAGAGAATGGGCTTCTGAAAATGTGTAGGTTTTTCACTCAATCCATACTGTAGTGAAATCATAGGAAAAAAAAATACTTGAAATCGATTACAACTCAAATGATATTTTGTAAAAAAATTAAAAATAATTTCATGGAAACAAAAACACAAACACACACTCGCACTCACACAAACACTCAAACATAGACAAACAAAAACAGACAAATCTGAGCTATATATACATAGATCTATGTATATATAGAGTTTTTAGACTTATCTTCATAGCAAGAGAGAAATCGATGGAGGGCTTCGTTCAAGCAGTTAGCAACAACTTGTGAGGATGAGAGGGAGCTTTGGTTCGTCTTCCAGAAGACAGAGAGAGGGTGCTCAATTCGTCTTCGAAGACACAAAGAGGGGGGAGAGAGAGAGAGAGAGAGACAATGTGAGGATGGGAGACCAACTGAAAAAATGACCACAAGCCCCAACTATTTAGATTTCTATAAAAAATATACATCTTTTGTTGCTAATAGGAATCGAATCCAACACCTCATTAAACCCCTTCAGCTCACCGAACGCATGTTTCGTGTATTTGTTGTTTCCTAAAACATGATTTTTTGGTTCCCATCTTTTTAGCTGTTTCCAAGACATCTTATAAATGAAATAAAAAAAAAAACAATTACCACATTTTTGTTTTTTGTTTTCTGGCAAAAACTCAAAACAAAAACATAAAACAACAACAAATAACCCCTTAATTTTCGTAAAACAAACACATTTTTACATGTATATATGACCATTTTAAATTAAATATGACATGTATAACACTTTTAAATTAAAATGAGTACAAATTTATTATTTGCATGCTATTATAATATTAAATTACTAATTTAAATTATTTCATCAAATTACTAAGTAATATTATTTCATTAATATTAAAAATATTGCATGAATAGTTTTTACAAACATAAATACTTAATTTTAGATATTAAATACACCATAAAATTAATTACAAATAGTTTGATAAATTAATTAACAATAAAAAGTTAATTATTAATTATAGGGGCTATTAACAATTATAAAGGAAAAAGGGGGGTTGAAATGGCGTTAATGTTAATTAAAACAAAATAAAAAGAGAAGGAAAAAAACAAAGATAAAAGAAAAAAAAATATATAAAGGATAAGACATAAAGAGATGCTATGCGTCAATCTCAATGAGAAAGGACAGAAAGAGAGGGGAGAGAACAAAGTCAGTCAAAGTAGATGACTCACGACATCGGAACGAAAAAGAGAGAAGAGAAAAAGATCTAGAGGCTATTGAACTACAACAGCGAAGAAGGAATAAAGAGAGAAGGAACATACCTGGAGGCGATCTGGCTCATGGGAGTGGATGGAGGCCTAGATCTGCTCAAATCTGAACTCAAGGAGGTAAGCTACTGAACTCTTGTCCTCGATTTCTTCTGGGTTTGTTTTGTATCTGTGTATTTCTCTCTTCGACTGTGCCCCTCTCTCTCTCTCTCTCTTGGGTAAAATCTAAATACACTTTTCTCTATCTTTCCCTTTTTTTTGGGTTGCAGTTAGACGATTTGGGATTTCTGAGAAGAATCTCATATTTTTACTTGATTTTTTGCCGCTGTTTCGAGCAAAACGTGACTGTTTCACTCGAAACAGTGGAATTTTGGGATTCCAACCGTGTTTCGTGTTGGTGTGTTGAAAATCCGAAACATTTTAGATGTTACGGACATGTCGACACAAAATTTCGATCCTTGCCGAAACCCAATGAGCACTTTTCGTACTCAATACACAAAGTATGAATTGTGATACAACAAACATGCACATAAACAACCCCAACGAACACACAATATATTACAAACATATATATACATATTGTTGTTAACGTAAAGATACCGATCACCACCTTAAAACTTAGAGCAAAGAGACTACAAACCAATTTCTCAGACAAAATATAGATGACTTACACAAAAACCTCGAATCAATCAATTCAACGAAAAGAATAGTGAAAAATATTTGGGAAAGTGAAACTCTAGTCACCAGTGGAATTGCACATAGAAGAATGAAAACACAAAATGTAGTGGCAAGGGGAAAAGAACCTCATCATTTTTAAGTAAGATGATTAAAGCGATCTCACGCCATCAAAACCATAAATTTTCTACTAAAGGGAGAACATGACTTTTGAGTACACAATGCATATCAAAATTGGAAGCTATTAATACAAACCAGTACACCCATCAGTGCAGTAACTTTCTGTATTACAAGTGACAGCTTATTCAGTTGAAAGTCAACATGCATACTCCTCTTCACTATACTTCCTCGAATGTCGTCGTAAATTCGTTCAACCCTGACAAGACAATAGAATTACACCATAATCCTACTTCACTAGGCTCAACTATTCATCGTATTACACCAACTTAATGGTAAGGATCAAAAAATCGTTTCGGTCAACTCAGAGAGCAAACGTTTCAGAAATATTTAGGAAACGGAATGAAAACAGAAAAATAAATAAATAAATTATTTCCGAGACATCGATCGAAACATTCCAAAACATCACAAAACACTCCAAATGATAGGATTACTATATCCAACCAGTGTTTCGTTTCAGTGGAATCGAAACGAAATTTTGATCATTGCTCAATGGCCAACACTCTAAAATAGCACTCCAAAAATTCACTGTAAGCTTACCACATCTTTCCTTCATCATCCAATATGGCTGTCAGGATAAGCTTGATAGTATAATAACACTCTTCAACTGCATATTTCATGTAGTCATCCCTTGAGATCCTATCCCATAGCTCTTCCTGAGAATCTCTACTCTCTAGTGCAATATCTTTTGCAAGAAATATCTGCACAAATTTCAGGAAAAAAAAATCATAGACTTGGAAGCCAGCTAGTGTAAAAGAAGGGGAAAATCTATCAAGAAATTCAGAATGCAATGATTAAAGCAACTAGTGACCTTGCTAGCCAGAAGGAAAAGGGGCCACTGAACCAAGGGAAGGTTCCCAGAATTTCTAGGCATAAGAAGCAACTCCATTTCCCTGCAAGTGAAGAAAAGTCAATACAATAATGCATAAGGGAGTAGAGAAATACATTTAACTCACATAACGCTATAGGAATCCAAGCCTACAAACCGCACAAAGTAGAAAAGCAACACTCACAAATTAGTAATATAATCTTCTTCACGCAGATTCTTCACAATTTCATTCCAAAAGGGAGCAAATCGAGCAGCATCAACCTTGTTCTTCTCCAAAACCTTCAATTGGACAGCAAAAATAAGTTTGCAATGTTCAGCATAGCTTCTCAAATATGACGTTAAAGAAAAGCAGATGGTTTTAATCATCATTTGCAAACACCGGACTGTAAGAAACATGGTTGACACTTGACTCAGCGACAGAAGCCCCAAAAAAACAACATTTTGTATAAATAGATGTATATACTGAGACTACAAAAAGCACAAAATAAACATAATCCTGACTACCAACCCACCCCTGGGTTGGGAGCAAGGATCAAAATTTCGTTTCGGTGCAATGTTTCGGTCACCTAGGAAGCAGAAACGTTTCGACGCATTTCGAAAACGTTTTGACCAGTTCCAAAAACATAATAAAAAAAATAAAAAAATTTAAGAATTATTTTTTTCAAAACATTGGTCAAAATATACCAAAATATCTTAAAATATCTTGAAACATTCCGAAATAATTGTCCAAATGCATTGAAATATAACAAAACATTTCGAAACATATTGAAAAACTTCGAAGTATTAAAATTTCAATTTCATCATTGATTCATTTCAGTCTACTTAGAAACAGAAACATTTTGGATGTTTTGACCGTTTTGAAATGATATTTTGATCTTGGTTTGGGGGAGTTTAAGCAAACATATTAAACACTGAGTGGCCATAATGACACACTCATAGTACAACAATTAAGTAAAATAAGACCTTTTTGAAAAGAAAATCAAAGAGAGTAACCTTATCAGAAAACCAAACATAAAGCCAGAACTGACTCGACCTAGAGTTGAACCGACTCTAATGTAAAAATAGAAAATGAAGCCAGTCACAAAAATTAAAAAGCATCACCTGACCAGATGACTGGAGTGAAGTCCTGCCAAACAGAACCCGAATTCAGCAGAGAGAGAGAGGCATAAAAATCAACAAAAGCATAAATAGAGGTGAAAACATTATAAAAACATAAAACACACCTATTAGAAAGAGGAATATGAAGAGTATCCATAAACGCTGTAGGATATCTCTCAAAAAGTTTGTGGACAGCATCCAATGATCGAATCTGACATTATCAAGGAAAACTGAATTATTGAAACACCAAAAATACAGATGAAACACACAGCAAAATTTGTATGTAATAGTGAAGACAAAAATCTACAAGAAAGGAAATACACAACTGCCCCATGCTAAAACATAATCAGCTTGAGAGAGATACTACCATTATATACAAAAAATAAAGCCCACAAACAATACAAAGGGGATGTAGAACCCACAAAGAAAAATACTCACCTCCCCAAGCCGATCTCTTGCCCCCAACAAGAAACCCCAGACAGCAGATATAACAGTGTAAAAAACGTGGATATCTAAGAGATAGATCTGCAATCAAAAAGTAGAGATGACCAAGAAGAAAAAGGAAATAAATAAAGAAACATTCTAATGAGCTTAACCAAGAATTAGGAAGCATGGGTCAAATGCAATCTCATATATGTTGAACAGAATCGGGATCCAGTTGGAAAGTTTTCACATAAGGAAAAACATAATTGCTGGTGGATAGAAATTCATCAAAAAGTGAATAGGCATACTCTGCAGTCCAGCTTCTTTTTATTGGAACTATATATTATTCTAAGGCTTCTACTCAGACTCATGATTCATCAGCTTTTCTGCCAATTCAGTGTTGTGATCTCTTGATTTAGTCTCTCACCATCGAGAGGTCGTTTTAAAGGACCAGAACAAGCCATATCTTCCCATCCTTGAGCTTTTAGATCCTCAAGAACATAGTTAGTATCATCCAGACGAGTGTGACAGGCTTCCCGCAAACCAAGGATTTTGAAAAGTCCTCTCGTCTCAAATGCTTTATAGTATAATAATAAAAACCTCTATGCAAAGGAAAAGATTTATGTAGATATCATTGCCCATTACACCTTACAAGATACTACCATAGTTATCAAAATCGTACGATTCGTGATTTGATTCGTATAATTCGGTTCAATACGAGTACAAAACGATTCGTATCTTTTATGAGAATCGTTTTAGAGTTGAATCATAGGTGAATCTTACGATTTGTAAGATTTGATTCGCATCGCACGAATCGCACATTCAATCATCTTTTTTAAAACCCAAATTTTTTGCAAAACGATATCGTTTTGTCCGCTAAACAATAAACAACGTCTTTTTGTCTACTAAATAATAAAACGACATCGTTTTGTTTGCAGAGGAATTCACGCCCAGAGAAAAATTCAACCTCTTTTTGCTCGTTTTCTCTCTGACATCGTTTAAAGCTCACATTACGTAGCTAAAGGTCACGGCTAACACTCTTGCATCATCGGTTGATTTTTGCTCCCAATTCTTTCATGGATAGTTTGTTAAGTTCTAATTTTTTGTTTCAAAATGCTGGCCTTTATGTTTTCTCCCAATCAATTTTCTTATTTGTTCTTTTTTCATTCATGTTTGTAACATAATCTATATTGGGTGTCGCTATTTTGATTCTTGAATAGTCATGGTTATTTAACGAAATTTTTTTTCAAGTTGTTGAATTTGAAAATGATTAAACAAATGATAAAACTAAAGTAAAAGGTTAGTCTCTTTCTATTTAGACGAAGTGATTATGTCAATTGATTATTTTTAGAATGCAATAATGTTCAATATTGAATATTTTGTCTATTTTAAATACATAGTATTATTTTTTATTTGTGTTCAAATTTTATGTCAAACCTTACGATTCACGATTCGATACAATTCACTATTCTCAAATTTAAGATTTCAATTCACGATATGAATCGCGATTTGACAACTATGGATACCAATGTAAAATCAAATGGACTGCTTCATACAAGTGTACTCTATGAGATATGCATTGTATTCCCCATTCAGAAAACAAAAGAAATATATTCCTCAAGTCATCACGTTTTTTAAAAACATAATAAATAGTATATTTATAGGAAACTTCAAATGTATACGTAAGATAAACAAATAGTGAACGTTTCCCAGAAGTTTATACAGAAAAGAAACCGAAAATCAAAACAGAAAACAAAAACCAATGAATTCAAAATAATTGCGAGCGAAAACTGAAAGAACAAGTTATTATTGAAGGATCATTTTCCAATTAAGTTGTGAGATTGTTGTTGCATTTAGAGGCCTTACTAATCAGCCCAAATAAAACAAAACAATTGCGCCTTTGTTTTAATAAATGTAACTCTCAATTAAATTCCTTGATAGATTATATTAATGTAAAGGTATAAAAAGAGAGATAGATCGAGGGTTGTGTGGCTGTGTGGTTGTGGGACTGGGTATGGGTGTGGGTGTGGGATAGAGAATAGATGAAAAATATGGGTTGATCAATCATGAAAGTAAGGGAAAAGTGAGAAAGGAAACAAAAGATAATGACAATTAGAAAGTATGGACTGGCGACTACCTCTTCCAAGTACTTTACTTTTCCAATCTTCATAACTCCACAAGCACAGAGAATGTAGATCATTTATTTTAGCCTTGTCTGATTGCTTGGTACTTATGGAATAAGTTGTCTAAGATAGCACAGCATTTTTGGGTGACTCCAAGTTCCATATCAACTACGTTTTGCATGGACTTTAGTGGCTTTGGAAGGAAGAGTAGCGGAGTTACTTTGCGGGATTATGCAATGTTTGCCGTTATTTGGGTGATTCGGTTGGAAAGAAGCAAAATAATTTTTTTAGGACAAGTGTGAGATGCTTGAAGGATTATAGAAACGCATCTATTTCTTAGCGCCTTTTGGGCATAAGTACCGAAGGAGTTTTCAAATTTGTCACTTTTTGGAAGCCCAGTTGGACCCTTCTTTGTGGATGTTATACAACCATGATGTTTGCTTTTTGGTTTTTGATGCTGTGTTTTTTTGTTGTGCTGCACTAAGGTTGGCCGACATGACCACTTTTGCTCACATATTGTACTACATCTATTTTTATTACTAGTAAAATCTTTTTTTGCTATTAAAAAAAAGATTCATTTTATGTTGTAGAATGAAAGAAAAACAAGGATTTAGTATTAATTTGTAGAACTAAAGTGACTATCTAAATTTACCCCTTAAAACTACTGCATAACTGCAATAAGTCAACTGCAAAAAGCAGCCTCATGCCAATTCGTTGAAAAAGGGTTTTCAGGAGGACGACTTCCAACGGAAGTCCTTCAGCCCATTGCCATGAAACATGCACAATTTATTCAAAAAGCATTTGGGGGTTAAAAAGCCTTTGAGATGCCCCCAAAAGCCCTGTCAAATGCTACATAAATATCAAGCAACAAGAGGCATATGAAACGAGGTTCCGAGTTCAATGTATTAAAGTTATTACTGCCTCTAAATGGAGTAACAATTATGTTGTCAACACAATGTATATAATGTACAAAATTTAAGCCAATCCAATACTGTCCACGCTGTTGGAAAGGCATGCTTTCGTGCCTCTTTAGTGTAGCATGGCCAAACAATCACCATTATCTAGAGTGTCTGTGTCGAACACATTGGGACACAAACACGCTTTAAACACATGTCGGACATGCTAAATGAATGTCAAATTTTTTTATTATTTAATTTTTTTCAAGACACGTTAGGAACACGTGGCTGACACCCTGGAGGATACATTTTGAGATTTTTTTCAATTTCTTTGAAAATTTGTCAAATAACTTATAATTAAGGAAGTTGTTTTTGTAATTTTAAAGATTCTTTGGTCAAAGGTATAATATAAAGAGTTGTAATCCGTACACAAATATAGAACATGGATATAGCATAATGTCATATACAATTGTGAAATTATATAGACCTGGAATAAATTTTCTATATGAAATAATGTGATGAAAAAAAGGGTTATGAAATTTGGACTCTTTCAAATTGATGAAAATTAGAGTTACAAAGTGGAATAGTTTATAAAATGAAAATTGTAGTAGTCATTGGTTGTTGGATCACAGATGCATCGAAATATGTCGGATTGTATTTTTTCGATGATAACATGATATAAATTGTTAGAATTAAGGAAATAATGAATTGAATGATTATTATCAAAATATATTTATTTTATCACATGATAAAACATATTTTATATATATATATATATATAAACAAATACATAATATTTACCGTGTCTCCAAACGTGTCAGTATACTAATTTTTTGAAAATTTTTGTATCAATGTGGTCAGGGCATGTCGTATCCGTGTTTGTGTCCATACTCCTTAGACCATTATGCCAACAACAGCAAAAATGACATGTTATAGGTCCCAAATAAGTAAAATGTTCCCTAAGAAGGAACACTATTTAAAGTACTTTTATTTCCCCATCATCAATTCCTAAAAAGTGATTTTTGCAAAAGCAGGAGTAGTTCTTTAAGTAAATTTACAAGATAACCTTCTAACTTTATAGGCAGCTTCCCTTACACCAACAAACGATAATTGCTAAAAGTTAAGTGATTCAGAGGAGGTGGAAGCAGTTATTTTAGCAGAATTTACAATTTTAGCAAGTGATTCAGAGGAAGGAAGTGGATGCAGTTATTTTAGCTGAATTTACAAGTAATCATGTAACCAAACAATATGTTCCTTTTCATGGCCCAAATTTGATAGTCAAAGATAAGGTAATGTTTCTCTTTTCCTTTTTGTCCCCGTTATCAGAGATATGCACTCAAATCAGTTCCACAGAGCCTTGTCCCAACAATGTTAGAGTCAACTACATGAATCCTCTTTCGCCATTGTACTCTATTAAGGGTACTGTTTTCTGTTAAATTATAAATAATCAAACCTTTCTTTACAATTTCATTTAAAGCATAATCAGAAATATGATTTGTTGGTAATTCAAAAACATATACCTGCAAGGAGACTTCCCTGATAATAGTTCAGAGGTCCAATCAACACGCAAGTTAAGCATGGCGCGATGAAATATGTCCCAGTAAATATAAAAATTTTAAGAAAATAAGACAATAGCATCAGGCAGGTGTACTTACAGCAAATACTGGTGCCCATAAGCTAGCAACAGTAAAAGCATTATGATTTTCTGCAAGAAAAAATGAAGATTAGAAATTAGAAACTAGAAACATTGACGATAATTTTCAGAAAAACATCTACATTTGAAATCAAACGATAACATACGCATGATGGACATCACGATAAGCTAATTCAAACATGAAAGCACAGGTAAAATGCAGCTTAGCAAGCATAGCACGATGGGCACTAAATGTAAAACCTAAGCAACATAATGAGTATTTCTAACACAAAGGAAGGAAGAGGGGATATTGGCCACTTGACAAAAGACCCTCAATCATGTCAATGCTTAGTAGCATTAACATCCCTTAAACCAAGAGTTAAAGAATATCACCATGAATGGACTTATAACAGAATTCTAAATCCCGAGCTGAAAAAAGGGATGGTCCCAGCATGAATAACATGATGCTAAAATAAGTAATGGTCGAGAATGAACTCTCCAATCAAGGCTGAAGGTAGCAAAAAAGAAAATAATTTCAGTCCGTAATCAGCAATTTCCAGCCAAGGTTTGAGTCCCTGAGCCAAGAGGCTCTAGCTGACCCAAGAAGAGACAAAAAATATATTTTTTCGTTTCTTTTATCACCAAAATCTTCCTTCGTATCTTTATTACACCATTTATAAACATGGACTAACAAGATAGACTTGGCAGCAAGCTATTGACTTGTGCCCCAGAAAACCATCCAATAAAAGGAAACAGCATCAATTCTGAATCAACTGTTCTCATCGTTAAAGTAGAACCACCAACCTGATCCAATTTCTAACTTACTCAAATTGACAAACCATGCTTACTATATATCATGTAGTCTTACTACAATTCGACCAAGATCATCTTCATTCTTGATCGCCGCACAAAAAATCTCAATAACAAGCAAATATGTGTGTGTGTGTGGTCACAGTCCACATATGACTATATGCACTACTAGTATGAATGATATAAACAGATAGGTAGCTTACGTTTAGAAACGAAATCATGCCAAGAATATTGTATAGTATCCAAGCCCACAATAACCTTTGTCGGTTTCACCAAAGGCTTAATCTGCATAATGTAACAAATGTTTTTGAAAAAAGAACATATCCACATTAAGAGCAACTCATACCAAAAACAGTTAAAAACAAAATGACACCTACCTGGAGAAAGTAGGCAAATGAAAACTTGGCTCCCAAGATAAGAATCCAGAGAAGCATATACCTGCAATGTAAGGACATTAGTAAACACCAATTGCAACATCTGGTAAGAGCTATACTACCTGTTTAAGAAATTTGGATATTCAAGCTATCTTTTCTAAATGAGTACAAACTGTGCAATGGGAAGCCACAAAAGGACCATTGAAATAAGAATCCTAACAGAAATTGATAAACAATGTCGTAAACCCCCCCCCCAAAAAAAAAAATAAAAAATAAAAAACCCACACACCCAGAGAGAAGGAGCAGGTTTATATGGTTCTAAGAAAACTTCCACGTTTTCTAGACAATTTTTTGAAGAGTGAAAAGAGTATATATGTTAATCTTAAGATACAACAGAAAGAGGGCAACAATACTGTATCAAAATTAAGTGAGCAATAACCGAAGCCCTGAAAAGAAAAGGATAACCAGGACAGAAAACAAGTACTTTTAAAAGATGTCTCATATGCCTCATTGAGGGGTATTTACGTAATCTGAGTCTTATTATTAGACCATCTCTAATAGAAACCCAAACCATTACCCAAATTTGAGTAAAAAAAATATATAAAAAACTTGATTTAGTATAGATCTCTCCGATAGAGAAACTCAAATTTAAAACAACACAACCCCAAATTTAAATGATGATAGAATATGACCACTAGATCTTCAAAGGAAAATGAAATTTAACCATTAGAAATTTGGGTAAAGGTTTGAGTCTCCCTTAATTGGGGTAAATATTTGAATCTTCCTTGATTTTGTATGAGTTTGGGTATAGTATTGGAGATGATTTTTAAGAGTTTTTTACCCAAATTTAAATTTGGATTTAGAATAAGGTAAGGGTTAGAGATGCTCTTATAAATAAATGGGCCTAAGGGAGACAACCCTAATCTGAGTCTCGAGGATCTGTCTCTATAGTTACCACATTCTCAAAACTATATCTTCCTCTCCACATACTCTTCTTATTTCTCTTTTCATATTTTAACACGGTATCTGAGCCCAATCTATCGTAATTTGATATTATTTTTATTTTCCTATTTTTTCAATATCGTAAATCTAATTTTTTTCTCCCACAAATTTTTTCATTGTTTTTTTTTTAACCCTAAAAAAAATTATAAAAAAAAATCAGCATGCTTGACTAGGGTTCATATTCTCCCTCAAAATTCTCAATTTTTTTAGAGTTCATTTGATGTATTTTTCCATTTCTTTTTAATTTTTTGGTATTTTTGGCCTATTTTATTGAAATCACTTATTCTAATTTGTTTGATACAATCTCATGGCTAGAAGAACTCCCTTGGGATCCAAAATTACCTTCTTCCCCTTACTCGATTGTTATTTCATCCATTTTAATGGTTTTTTGGCTCCATCTATGATTTTTTTCTTGCGTTTTTTTTTCCTGAAATAGCAACTCTGACCACTTTTTTGATCAAATTTGGTTCCCAATCTTAGTTTTTATTGTGTCAATAACTTATTCCTTACAAGGATTCCTTGAACTTTGTGGGTTTGTGATATTTGGGGGTCTTACTTTGTTCGGTAGACATGATAGCCGGTAGTAAGACTTCCGGTTATAGTTATCACATTGAAATTCGTATCGGGATCCGAAATCCTACATTTGAGAAGCAAGAATCGTCTCGAATTGGAAATCATAAGATTCAACACCAAATTCAAACAATGATAAAAAAATAGCATGCACATATTTAAAATAAGCAAGATATTAAATATTAAACATTATTGTATTTTAAAAACAATCAATCGACAGTATCGACATCATAACGTCATATAAATGAAAAGATACTAACATTTATAAATCTTTATAAAGTCACTTGAGTTTATACCCCTGTTACTTCTTTCTTAATACATAATAAATCGTTCCCTCAAAATGGCCACGATGAAATATGCATAATTTTTAATAATAAATAGTTATTATCTTCCTACCAATGAAGTTAAACTAAAATAGGAAAAGCCCAGATTTAACATGTAAACGTAGAAAATCACTTTCCACATTCAATTGATAAATAATTTTTTGATGAAGAACAAAAAACATAACATTTATTAAAGAAGAAGAAGAAGTAGGGTTAGGGTTTGGTAGTTATTTTTGAAGAAGCATACTTTGAGTAAAGGAGACGTCGTCTCTGTCTAATGTTCATAGACACTTGGATAGTCACTTAAAAGGTAGAGACGCGATCAGAAGATACAAAGAGGGAGGCGAGTTTTATATTTAGGGGTGGCCTTTTCTAACAAAATGACGTCGTTTTGACTATCTAACAGTCAAAACAATGTCGTTTTACTTAAAAATGGTTAAAAAATAATAAAACAAATCATGCAATTCCTTCGAATCGAGTCGTATGATTCTTGACCAAAAATCGATTCTATAGTAAGATATGAATCGAATAGAAACTACATCAAATCGCATTGTACGAATCGAATTGCAGATCGTACGATTTTAATAGCAATGTTTCCTGTGGCAGCGAAGCAAATGCGATGAGTTGTGTTGGGACTCTTGGAGATAGTCCATCCCTTCAGATTAGTCTAGTTAAATTGGATGGCACTAACTGTTTGATTTTGTCACGATCTTGTAGTTAAGCTAGTACTGCATGGGGCCTAACTAATTACTCCACAAGAACTCTTATGGATCCTATGACAGATGGACCAGCTAGGGAGAAATGGCAATCAGAGAATGCCCTCGTTATGACTTGACTTATTAACTCAATGCGGCCCTTTATTAGTAGCACAAGTCTATAAACTGAGAAGGAAAATTCATAGGTTAGATTAGAAAGATAGATCACTTGCTAAGTATTATGTTGAATTGAGTAGGTTGTGGCAGGAACTTGACTATTATCAGAGTTTTTAGGCTATTTGTACTATGGATACTGCCTTTTAGAAGATGATGGAGAAAAAACGAGTATAAGATTTTCTTGTTGGCCTTAACATGGAGTACGAACATATTCAAGTTCAAGTTTTAGGTTGATCTCCTTTCTCCACCTTGAGAGAGGCCTATGCATGTGTTCAACAATAGGAAAGTTGGTGTAGTACTATGGTATACACTCCTAGTCAGGATCGTTCTACTTTGCTTGTTACTCCTACTTTACGAGATAGGAATGTCAGTCAGCCCAAGACTAGTGGGAAAAGTAATGCTGGTAATCGTGATCTATTGAAATGTAATTATTGTGGGAAAGAATGCCAAATTAGAGAGCATGGTTAGAAGTTGCATAGTCATTCTACCCAAGGGCGTGGAGTTGGCTGCAGTGGTACTGTGCGGTCTTATGCTCATATTTTGGAGACTTCCTCAAACCACTTTTCTATTACTAGTGCTCTCTCCCAGGATGAGATGCACACTCTCAAGTGTCTAATGGCTAGACTTGACTCTTCATCTACTATAGCTTCTCCCTCTACAACAGTTTCCACCAACTTTGCTCATACAAGAAGTCAAGCAAATGTTGTCAATGTTTTCTCTTCCCTTAGATAATTAATTCTAGAGCTATTGACCAGGTTCCTCTTAATCTTTTTTGTTCTTACTCTCCTTGTTCTGGTAAGGATAAAGTGAGAGTTGTTATGGCTCGTTATCCTCCGTTTCTCGAAAAAGTTTTGTACAGTGCTCTCCCTCCATTTCCCTTTCATCTCCTCTTCATATTCCAAGCTTCTCTACTAATTGACTCTCTTTTTTCCTACTCATTATGTGTTTCAAAAATTGGACATGAAAAAAATGACTGATAGGAGTAGAGCACATAGTGGTTTGTATTTGCTGGATGATGTCTCTCTATCCACAATGTCGTTGGGTCAAGCTCTACAAGTGGATACCGCATCTCCTTTTCCCTCTTACTTTAGCGACACAACCGTTCAGGACATCCTTTCTTTGGTGTTCTAGAGAAACTCTTTCCTATGTTAGCTAAATCATGTCATAGGAGAAGTTTTGTTTGTGATGCTTGCGAGTTTGCAAAGCATAGACGTTCATGCTATCTTCCTATTTGGTATATTTGGATGGAAAGAAATGACAGAATTTTGAATAATCATCATCTTCCTTCAAAATTATTATGAAAAAAAATAGTTTACATGGCTTCTTTGGTCCGAAGCTTCCAGGAGCTTTGATGGCTTGCCTATGTCTGATCCCCAATGGAATTGGAAGGCAACGTTATCTTAACTTTCATTGTGAATGCTTCATTTATATGTTTTTTGTGTTTTCTTTTTATTTTAGAGGATATCTTGGTATTGTAATTTGTTTCTCCTTCCATTCTATAATAAAATTCTTCTTTTATCAAAAAAAATAAACACTCATGTTATCCTTCCATTAATAAAAGAAGTAATTTTTCCTTTATGCATATTCATTCTGTTGTGTGGGGTCTCTCTCGAGTTGTTTCTCATTCTGGTTATCGGTGGTTTGTTACATTCATTAATTTGTTATTCTCTTGCTATTTGGGTGTATTTATTTCGAATCAAGGGTGAAGAATTTTCTTGCTTTAAAGCATTTCATAAGATGGTGACTACGCAGTTTGATACTACCATTAAAACTCTTAGGACTAATAATAAAACTGAATATATTGATGGCGATGAGCATACCTTGAAGAGCATGGTATTCTTTATCAGACAAGTTGTATAAGCACTTCTAAACAAAAAAATTATTGAGTACAAAAATCGTCATCTTCTTGAAATTGTCCAAACCCTTATGTTCATTGAATGTTCCCAACACTTTTTAGGAGGATGTTGTTCTTACTACTACATATCTTATTAATCGCATGCCCTCTAGAGTTCTTCAGTTTAAGGTTCCGCTTGAACTTCTCATGTCCTTTTCTCCGTTCTTTCTCCTAAGGTGTTTGGGTGTACTTCTTTTATTCATGTCTCGTCTCATTCTCGAGGTAAGCTCAACCCTAAAGTTGCGTGTTGGATACTCTATGACTCAGAAAGATTACAGATGTTATGATTCTCAATTTCACAAGGAATATGTTAGGATGGAAGTCATATTTCACGAGACCGAACCCTACTTGGTTGTATCTCAGTCCTCTTTTTAGGGAGAGACTAAGAATGAGGAGGAGAGACAACGAGAGGAGCTCTCATTTTTTCTCCCTTCGTTTAGAGAGATTGTTTGTAGTGAGGGGTAAAAAGACAAGTGTACTGAAGAACACAATTTTGATGGACGATTGGATAAACCTGATGCCACAAAGTCAATTGCCATCACCAACTCCAATTTTAGATTCTCCCACAAAGGCTTCAAAAGACAAGTCTTCATCTCCTATTGCATCTCTTATTGTTATAAATGTTGATGATTGTTCTCTACCTATTACTCTTAGAAAAGGTGTGAGATCTTAACTCCTTGTCTTCTTCATGCACATTGTTTCGTCTTTGACTTCTACATCTATTCCACATGGTTGGAAGGAAGCCCTTGAAGACCCTAAGTGAAAACAAGCTACAGTAGAGGAAATGAAAGCTCTAAGCAAGAACGACACTTGAAAATTAGTTTTCACTTCCAACTATGAAGAAACCTATAGGTTTCAAGTGGGACTTTATTGTGAAACAAAAAGTAGATGAAACAGTTGAAAGATATAAAACAAGGTTGGTTGCCAAAAATTTTACTTAGACTTGTGGCATTGACTGTTTAACACCCTCGTTGCAAAGATGAATTCTATTCGCACTCTTCTTTCTTGTGCCACTAATCTGAGTTAGCCCTTACAACTAAATGTGAAGAATGCATTCTTTCATATAGACTTGGCAGAAAAAGCCCCTCCACAATATAAATGAACCTTATGTGCTAATAATCTTTTCATGTGGGATACAAGCTCTCTTCACACTATCAATACCTGATAGAGATTGAAAAGAAATTCGATTAGCTTATAGATTGAAGAGTTGGAATTATATTATTTACACTAGTATTATTATATTTTTTAGGGAATACTTGTTTGACCAGAAGGGTTAGTTAGAAGTTGATTAAACTATTTTAGAATTTTAGTAGGAGAGTAATTTTTGTTTTGGTAGGAGACTTAGCTTATAAATATTGATGCAATCCCCTATTATTTTATGGCAAAGAGTGTAATATTAATAAAATTGTTCTATGCGGAGAATTTACGTATTTTTGACTGATTCCTTACGAGTATGAAGTAAATCTATCTTTTCCACCCCTTATTTCTTCTCCTTTTTTCTAGTTTCATTATCAGCTTGGTATCAAAGCCTAATCTTAGGCACAAATCATTTTTTCTGCCACTGTTGTGTGCGAGCCATCTTCACCACATCTTACTCGTTGTCCCTTGTGTACCACTGTCTGACCAGTTTGCTAGAAAGTCCCTTCGGCGTCTCGTTGATTTTGTCGCCCATAAGAGTGGAGAAAGAAACCAGAAGATCTGTTGTCGCTGCCCATCATTCATTGCTGATCACTACTGTCACGCTGGAGCCTGAAGCAATTTGCTGGTTTTGGAAATCACCGGTTCATTAAGAAGCCCAATCCGAATTCTTAATGCTCGAAATTGAATATTTTTTAATCTAAATACTAGTAGAGGGGGCGGATGTAGCCAAGTGGATCAAGGCGCTCTCCCTGAAAAGGAGGTGATCCAGTTGCACCTTTCAATACGGCTACCTTGTTACGACTTCACTCCAATCACTAGCCCTGCCTTCACCATCCCTCTCCTTGCGGTTAAGGTAACGACTTCAGGCATGGCCAGCTCCCATAGTGTGACGGGCAGTGTGTACAAGGCCCGGGAACGAATTCACCGCCGTATGGCTGACCGACGATTACTAGCGATTCCGATTTCATGCATGCGAGTTGCAGCCTCATCTTATTCAAAACCCCAATTATGACATCTCTTCTCTCCCACTTCACACCTCAGAACGCACCATTCTTATAGAGACAAACACGCTTTCACATCTTCTTAACCCGAAATGGCTGGGGAGAGGAAAGGTTTCTTTTTTTGAAGGTACTCTCGGGAATAGATCCAGTGGAGACGGGGGTGGGGCCTGTAGCTCAGAGGATTAGAGCACGTGACTACGAACCATGGTATCAGGGGTTCGAATCCCTCCTCGCCCACAACCGGCCCAAAATGGAAAGACCTTTCCCTCTGGGGTACGAAATTCATAATCGAGATAGGGATAGCGGACCAAAAGCTATGGAACTTGGGTGTCTTTTGTTGAAATGGAATGGTCTTTTTATTTATTATTTATTTATCGTGAATGATGGAATACTTGATATTTGGCCCAAGACCATAAACCTAATTACCCGATCCAAATCCAAACCCAAAACCAGCCCAAGTAAACCAATACCTGCACAAATTTCTATCCAACCAAAAGAATACCCACTGCCCCTATCACACAAAACCCAGTAACCCAATCCATTATCACCAAATTAGTCCAACCAAAAGCCTAATCCAGCCCCCAACACACCCCCCCCCCCAAAAAAAAACCAAAACAAAGCCTAATCCCATATTAACCAGCCCACCAGTAATCAGCCCAAAGAAAACCCAAGCCCACTAACCTAACCTGCTATCTACAGCCCAGATATATACCCACAACCTTCTAAAATTACAGGAAAGTCCCCCAAACATTTCAGAAATTACACTTTTGGCCCAAAAAGGTTCTGAAATTGCAGTTTGGCCCCAGAATTTTCTGCAACTTTTCAAGTCACTTCTTCTATCATAATGGTCTCCAATGCTAAACGAAATGCCAAAGTCAAGGCTTGATCTCAAGAGTATGGTGATTGATTGACTTCAGTAGAAATGAATAAGGCCTCACTAAGACTCATTTCTTTCTCAACAACACATGCCATACAACACAATGAATAAAAAGCCAAAATAATATCCTGGTACTAAAAAAAGAAAAAAATAAAGAAAAGTGTAGATGTCCCGAAGACTGAAAATATAAGATAAAAGGCCATTATAAATAAAGAAACAAGATTCAATAGGCACATCATTGATGCTATAGAGGATATAGGAACAAAGGAACAGAGATAAAAATTACTTGATATAATCAGTCGTCCGCTCATACATGCCGCGGCCAACATAGTAATGTTCCTATAAAATAAACAAGACAATGAGAAATAAATAAAACAATTTATAAATTTAAATCAACCGGATCCAGAAGCAAAAAGCAGAATCTAAAAGTTCACACAAAAAATAGGCACCTGATGCATCCACTTGACAAAACGAACCAAAGGCCAATGGTCGCATTGATTGGTCAGGCGATGGCAAGCAGGAATTCTCATTAGGAGACTAAGAAAGAACTGGATGCCCGCATAGATGCCTAAGATAATTACATAAACTTTAAAAAGAATGGACTCTGCATTTGGTTTACTCTTCTCTTCAAGAGCTTTCCTGTGATTAGAGCACATAAACAAAAATGAAGCCATTTATTGTAGTAGTTAATCAAGATAACCACAGGACCCAAAGATATAATAATAAAAACCAGTCTAAAGCAACACAATGGAAGACAAATTCAGAGGCACAAGTAACATACACATAAAGGAAACATATGAAAATCGATGCTATGGTAAAGCAAACGAAACGGAGAAAAATTCGTAAAACAGCTAGGCGCCTTGTCGTAGAGTATGCACCATACATCATGAGAATGTCCAAAACACCTACAATAAAGAAAAAGAACTTCAGCTACCTATGTCATCATGATACGTTAAAGCAAAAAATCACCCACACAAATCTGGAGAGAGAGAGAGAGAGAGAACCATACTCTGAAAGAACTTCATCACCACATATGTAGGGCCAAGACTCAGAACTTCTCTTATGGTCTTTGAATCAAAATGCCCACCATTAAATGCAATGATAGTGAGTCCCTAAAACAACAGAAAAACACAATTTGCACATGTAACCAGGTTGGCCAATTCAATTGATAAGAATAATAGAAGCTAAAAAAACAATTTATTAATGTAAGATGCAGACATCGAGAAATCCAATTAAAGAAAAAGGAAAAAAAAACTCCTACAATGCTCAGGCAAGAAAAGAAACCACGTAAAAGAACTTACCATATGCAAAAGGCAAAAATAGACATCAGGAATACAATTTTTAGTCTGTTTATGTGAGGTAACACATTAAATGTTGGGCATGGAAAGACAAGTTAACTGTTAACAACAAAGCTTCAGAGAAAACAATATAATTTTTAATATGCAACTTCAAGCGACTCAATAGGTATATTAATTTAGCTCCCACATTTTTAAGTCCCAAAGATTTAGCTCTTTTTCTATCCAAATCAAAAACTCAGATCTTAAGAAAATCATTAAAATTGGGAAATATGTCATTCACACCCCTGTAAATTACCCTATCTTCAAGAAAACCCCCTATATTTTCTAAACTTCATTGCACTCCCCTCTAGTTTTTATATCCATTTCATCCACACTCGCTTCCATGAGTATCTGTTGCTAACAAACCAAAAATGCTCACGTCATACAATTGTTTTCCCAAAATACCTATAATAACTTTCTTCTATAATAACAGTCTCCACATCTATCTTCTTCTTCCTCCATAAGGCACAAACAGAGTATAGACACACACACAGCCACACAACCATCAACAACCCCTTGAAATTAGCCACCTAGAATCTGGCATCACCACCACCCAAATCCAAAGCACATACCCAAGGACACCTGCCCCATAGTTTGCTACAACCACCCACACCGAAAATCCACTTTCACACCCCCACATTGTATCAAGCAACCATCACACTTTTTCCTCCATTACATGGCGGAAGTCATGGAAGTGGGTGAGCAGAGGGGCTGTGAATGACGTTCTCAAGGAGCTCTCTATTCCACTCTCTCCCTCCATCAGATATATTATACATATAATTTCTATCCATATAATAAAACATGGTGGTTTTTGAATAGACACTCCCCAGATAGTACAATAACATCTTAGATTAACCAAAAATTCATCCAATGGTAACAAATCACTCCTGACATTTCATTTTTCCCCCAAAATTCATTTTTTGGAATAGATTATACACAAAAGGTCCAACCTGGTTTGGGTAACTACAAAATTCATAGGATGTTGTTAATGTGGTTTGTTTATTTTTGTATTGAATGCATGTTGAGTGGGATTCTTAATGCGAATGGTATGACAGATTCTGGGATTAAAACTCATTATCTCTATCTTACCACAAATATCAGTTTCAACCTCTTGAGTATGGCAAGACTCAACAAGATTTAAAGGGAGGGAGGGTCAACTAGACTGCTGTTTTTTCTGCTAATCAGCTTAGCGGCAAATGGCACTTTGCAAATTGAATGTTGTTACTCTTATTTCCGCATTATCCTTTGGCAGCCCTGACTTCCTTAGGTCATTGGTTCGACCTCCTAATGAGAATGGAGGTCCTTGTGCAGGCATCTCCTCCCTAAGACTTGCTTGCTCTGTATGGAGTGCCCCGTAGGTCCTCGAGTTCCAGCCGCAGAGAAGAATGCCATCAACTTGGGCTTTATTGGCCACTAACCGGTCACTCGCCAAAACATTGGGAGAAAGCTCTAGGTACCCCTATAGCTTTCACTCACTTAACATTCAATTTTTATAAATTCAATTCACTCTTGATGATATGAATTTTACTTGATTCATTTTCTAAATGGCAATTTTTTTTGTGTTGCCTATTGGCTTTAGGGGCGGGCAATTTCCAATACAGCTATTTAATAAAGTAAAATAGATTTTGAATTGCCCAACTTATCAAGAGCTAAATACGGCTCAGATCATTTCATAATTCATCCAAAGGTCAAAAATCCTAACCTAATTTTTACTTTCCAGCCCAAATTTTCTTTTTTGCCATTTTTCCCATTTCTCTACCCCAATCTCTCACCCCAAATTCCTAATTACTCTCCCCAAATTTGTCCTCCCCCTATTGTCCTCCCTCTCTTTTCTCTCTCACCCCTCTGAATTTCACACATACAAGCAAGATGATCAGTACAAGAGTGCGGAAAAGAAAAGAAAGCGGCAAAACCCTCTCATATTTGGTCACCGAGAAAATCCCATCCTTTTTTCCCCACTTTCCACCAACACAATGCCCCGACGACGTCAACACCAACTTTATTCGTCTCTCCTCTTTAGGTATGTCATTATCTCTCTACGTCATTCCTTCCCACCTTTTTCTCTTTTATCGTTTCCCTTTCTTCCTCTCCACTTCTCTACACTGCAATCCACCATCGGCCACAACCCCCTTCCTCCTCTCCCCAACTGCCACAACCCTCCCTCTCTTCACTGCAACCCCCTTCCTCTATCTGATGTTCTCTTTCTCTACTATATATGTACTTTTATAGGGGTTTTCTTATTTGATGGCCACAAGTTTTGGGGGTTTTCTAGGTTAGGGTGCGAAGAAACTGATTCAATCGATGCATCCGACATAGATTTCATCCCAATTATGGTGGATGGTGGCAACATGACCGTTGTGTTATTTCTTCCTCCTTTGTTCTTTTTTCGCCTCTGTTGTATTGTTGGTCTCGATTGTGATCCTCTGTGTTGTTGATGTTCACCCTAAGTGTTTCGTACAAATTTATCCTTGTTTGGGTGCTACAATTATGTACTAACTTCATGGACAATGAGTAGTGGTAATAAAAAATGTAGTAAAAAACACTCAGGAGGTCATAGGTGAGACATCTTCTATGAAGCTCAACTAAAGTCCAAAAAACATGTGACTATCACCTAAAAGCAAGGTACAAAAAGAGAGTACTTTTATTTTTGTTCTTTAGTCGTGTGACTCTAAAATGATCTGTTGTTGACAAGTGAGCCGACAGCTATTGAATCTTTAATGGTTATTAGGTCTAATATTTTTTTTTAAATATGGTTTATTATATAATGGGCTGTAATTTCCTATTAATTAACACATTAAATGAATTAAATTGACATATTTTACTAACTCATAATGATATTTGGGCCTAGTTTGAGAATTTAATTTAAGCACCTAATTTATTATTGTCCTTGGATTAATAGTAAACTCATGCCAATAAGGACCCACAGTTAATTCTACTATAAAAGTGGATTAGGTCCCAAAATTAAATACCCAAATTATGTTCAAATAGAATTGTTCTTTATTAATATATTTTCTTTCGGTAACAGCATTACATATCATTTTCACAAAACTTTAATGAATAATATGATGTATTTTGAACATACAATGCATGGATTTTGTTCCTTTATATTTTTAAAAAATTCACGATTTAAAAAAAAAAAAAATTGGGCTTCTAACTAGCATTTGATGAATATCACCTAATACCGTGCCTTGACGCCTCAACTGATATGTTGCAATGCCCTCCAAGTTGAGGTCTGATACCACGACCTTGAACTATGGTTGAGCTTGAGGTGTGTTACCCCTTGCATTATACAGATATAATTTAATAAAAAATACATGTGGATGTATGTGAGTATATTGATGGTTTGATTCTTGGGTTTAGAAAAGGAACATTCTAAAGACGAATTCTCCCATTGGATCTATTGGTACCAAGATTAGAATAAGTTTCTGTGAAGCCATTTTTAGGAGGTGAAATTTCTCTAACACAATTAGTACTCCTAGGAAGTAATAGATAGATCTCCTCTTTAGTTCAAATATATGTCTCCGGCATCAACTATTATGTTGCATTTTGCTCACTTGGGAAAAGCACTTGAGAGAATTGGATTTCCAAAATGTTGCATTTCGTTTGTGGGTTAAAGTTCATGGAAGAATACAAAACAAAGTTCTATTGTAAAAGAATTATTTCGAAGATTTGAAGTTGATGCAATTCAGCTTTGGAAGAGGATATACATCACGAGGATGTCCAGACTATTGGCAGATTTGCTATGTGGTTTAAAACCTTTTGGCTTTTTGGTAACTACAGATATGGTATATATGGGTAACATGTAATTTTCGCAAAATCTGTGGTGTAGTTATTTTACTCACTCAGAGATGGTGAGATTATCTTCCAGTTTATCCTTCTTACGTGCAAGAAGGTTTTAGTCGTTCTCTTAGGTACTAGAAAGAGCACATCCTCAAATCTAGGATTGGAACAGACAACTTCTATGGCAAAACTTGGTTTGGAAATTGAAAATATAAAGGGATTATGGTAGCAGGTATTTTGGGAAAAAATGAGACAGTCATCCTACTGGATTTCCTTTCCTATCAAATTTCATACAATCCCTGATAAGGAGGAGATCTCCCTTCAATCTTAAAAGATTTTAGGACTTTTCACATTTTCAACTACAATGGAAATTTTGGTAGAGGCCGGAGGCCAACTGCTTGGCAGGTTTTATTGTACAATGAACTGCCAAATGCCATCTTGCTCCAATGAAAGAGCTAAATTTTGCTACTACTTTTTTTCCAAATGTAACTTGGAATAAATTCAAAGGTCAGATAATAGCTAAAAAAAAATTGCATATTTAGTCGAATGTAAGGCCTAAATTATCCAGGCCATCTTGTTGAGGAATATATTTGGAGAAATTTTGAACTATTCTTCCTCATTCTAACTCAGCTTTGCTTGCAGTATTTTGATAGTAAGCATTCTTTCCAAAGTTTAGTACATATGTAAGAACTAAACAAATTCTTTGGTTGAAGCACATAAATTGGAAATGTTGGACTCTTTGTTTGGTGGATTCAAACTATTTTGTGATATTCCTCTTACTTTTTTTGTGTGCTATATGGTGTCTTTAGGCATGAGTATTAGCTACTATATGTATTTATACACACACATCAGTTAATAGGTACATTTCTATGACATTAATGGGCAATTGGTAAAAGATGCTTTTCAATAACCTAGGTTAACCAACATGATGCTAACAAGGGGTCTCAGTGAAGTTTCAAATAATACATGGGGTGTATTTGATGACATAGGGTATTCTACTAGGGGTGTCAACTGTCAACAAAATTTTCCCTTCGAAACTAGTATTACCTGTTTGAATGAGTGGAGAAATAACAAATAAGAGAAAGCAGTATTTAACTCAATGACATATTATATATTAGAAGCTCCTTGCACATTTGTTTTACATATGGGCTATATCTCTGAAGACCAAGATGGATTAAAATATATGAATCCTTAAGTGCGAATACTATATCCGAGAGTTATCATAGGGAAAATTGCAAGCACACTATAGATTCAAGATATAAAAGACAAGTGGACTTTTGCATAAAAAGTAAAAATAAAAAAAATACAAAATCTAGACATGTCCAAAAATCAATGACCCATGGGGAAAAAACACAGTCTATGGTCAGGAGAATCAAATTCATGGAAATAAACTAACGAAATCCACATGGAAAAAAAAATTGAAATAACATGCAATTCATGAAGCCAATTACCCTATCAAGAAGCATAAGAGGAAGAATATTACTCTACAGTCAGACATAACATGCAAACCTGAAACATCATGAAGAGAAAGATCCACAGACGGTGGAAACTATGATAAAGATGAAGAAATGTCCGATGTTCAACAAATGAAGTTTTTCCTTGACGTTTACTTGGGCCAGATTTAAGCAGATTCTGCAATGAAGAGGGCAAAAAATCTTAGGCAAAGCTAGAAACGGTAACAGTATTCAATGAACTGTAGATCAGAAACACATGAGATAGTCAACAAGCAACTAATGTTAGAACTTGCTATTATAATGAAATTATCTAGGAGAAGGGAAACTTCATCAGGGAAAAGAGCAAGAAAGTACCACAACAAAAATCATGACCACTTTTCCATTCATTACCTCATCAATTTGAAAAAGAATGACAGGAAAAACAAGGTCACCACCATGGCCCACTGTTACATATAGCCCTAGCCTTTTTACCCTAATTCCTTTCCCAAAAGCGAAAGAAAAGGAAAACAGGACTGTGTCATCCTCACCCAAGCAAATGAATTAATCAAAATAAGTCAGTAATCAACTGGTAGAAAATCTTTAGCACTCCACTGCAAAAAGATATAGAACAAAAATCAAAGAACGGAAAGCCTGGCCACCCCATTATAGGGTCCTGATATACTTTGTTGATTAGAAGATGGATATACCCACAATAAATTTTTCCATCTTCAATCTATTCCTTACTTCTCCTTTTTTCCAGTACAGCACAGAGACTTGCAAAATTGCACAGGGCAAGCATCCATCACATCTTCTAAAGGCTGTCTCAATTGTATTATTGGTAGTATGGGGACCAATCAACCCCTCCATTAAGGCACACCAACAACATAATAAACAATGACAGGAAATGCAACACTAGTCCTTAAACAAGTTGTTACCCCCTTAGCTCGTTGGCATGGCTATGGCATGTAGATACTAGCCCGATGGTGCCCCATGCCTTAACCTGATTAGGGGAGTCTTGGCCCATTGTGTGAAGATAACTTCCTAAAGACTTGGTCGTGTGCTTGGTTTGATATCAAGTTGTGTTCAATAAAAGTTCTGGTGGAATGCAGTAACTATGCCCCATGCTCTCGCTGTTATGACTCCTCGGTTCAGCAGATGTTTGTTGCTGCCACTAGGGTTTTGTTCACTAACACTATTATAAAAAGAGGATGCTCCGCGAAGGGGAGTCAAGCCAGCAATCCCTCTGCCCCCCGAGCTTTGGCACACCAAAGTAAGGCACGGCTCCAACATATGCTTATCATGGGTGTAGGCAAGGCATTCCAAAATTCGAGACTGATATGTGGGGCCGATGTTCAGTGAGACCCGTCGTTGGAAGAAACCCCATGCATGATTGAGAAAGGTAACACGTGCATAGGTGGCACAAGCAATCAATCATAGCTAGCCATGTGAGCTCGAATTGTGGTGCATTGCAAGGTTGGAACACCAAGCCATGAGTTGGGCATGGCTTGGCATGTGGGCAAGGCTATCAAGGATGTTAGGTGCACGTTATGTGAGGAGGTTCGAAGCAGTTGCTTGCATGTGTACCTCAAGTGAGACAGTTCTGTACAGTTGATGCCATGTGCACAACATGAGGGGCAATTCCAAGTAATTGTTGGTATGTGCACAACATGCAGGGCGGTTACGAACAGTTGCTGGCTGAGTCAAGCATTAGTTACAACTGCTCTAGCCATGTTCAGCAGAACCAAATATGATCAGCAAATATTCAGCACAATTATGGGAAATGGCAGAACTCCCATAATTCTTGAGGACGAATTTGATTGCTGCCTGTAATCATAATAGTGGAGAATGTCAACTGCATGGCTGAATCAGCCAAAGCTAGTCAGTGTCAGCATTGCCTAAGCAATTGGGCTAGTAACTGTCATTGTATGTTTTATCAGCAGTGAAGCAAGAGAGTTTGGGCACGTTTTATAAGCAAACCCATAGCCGAAATCCTTTAACCTTGTTGAGAAGAAAAAGGTTGGATCGTTTGGCCAGTAATCTCGTGTGCCAGCTGTGTGTTTGATTCTTACCCATATTCTTTTCGATATATTGTTTTTATGAGCGATTGTACGATTTTGGCTAAGACTGAGTATGGGATCTTAATGCCGCCCCAAGGCACAATTCGAGTGAAATTTGACCCCGTGTGACAGTTGGTATCAGAGCTACCGTTTCTGATCACGGATGCTGGAAACGCTGCAGAGTTATGTGAACATGTGACCGTATGAAAGATTTTCTAGGCACCCCTCAAGGTGATGTTACAACCAACATGTCTATGAAAAAGGAACAACACGCTATCCAGATTGTCAATTTGAGGATGGCCTTTGACAACTACATGACAGATACTGATGCAAAGATTGCGACGATGATAAAGGATATTCTGTCCCTCACACGTGTTGTTAAGACCAATCTAAAGGAATAATGAAGATGAGCAGGCCCTGGTGAAGAGAGTCATGCATTCTCGACCTGTTATGGGGGAGAAGTCTTCGAAAATCAAAGTCTTTGAACCCAAGGCCTTTGGTGGTACATGGAGTGCCAAGGATTTGAAAAACATTTTGCAAGACATGGAGCAGTACTTCAACGCTGCTCATACGCCTGCGAAAGAGAAAGTTACCAAAACTAGCATATATCTTTTCAAGGATGTGAAACTCTGGTGGCAGGCTCGGAATGAATACGATACTAGCGCAAGACGGCCCAAGATCGAGACGTGGGACACACCAAAAAAAGAGTTGAAAGATCAATTCCTACCTAGCAACACTACATGGATTGCTAGGGACTTGCTCAAAAAATTGAAGCATGCGGACACTATTCGAGATTACGTGAAGGATTTTAGTTCTTTGATGCTAAATACCAAGAATATGTTCGAGGGGGACAAACTCTTCAATTTCATGTCCGATTTGGAAGGATGGGCATAGGCTAAGTTGTGTATACACAGGGTGCAGGATTTGCCCACTACCATCGGTGTTGCAGATGGCCTCATTCACTTCAAGATGGGCAGCCTAGGCCTTTCTAAAAAGAAGAAAGATGGTGGTGACAAGAAAGACAAGGTGTTAGCACTTCGAGGGACACAAAGAAGACGGACTGGAAAAACAAGAAAAATAGCAATGACTCTAAAAAGCCAGACAGGAACAAGAATAAAAACGTCAATTTTGGCTGCTTTATCTGTGGTGGCCCTCATTGCGTCAAAGACTAGAGAAGTTAAGTACCCTCGTTTCTGAAAATGGTGATGACAGTGATGACGCGAGCCCTACTTGTGTCCGTTGTTGCTACAAAACTGTTTTACAATTACGTGAAGTACTTTGGTTTACCGAAAGACATAGTCAATAATCGTGACACAAGGTTCATTGGCAGATTTTGGACAGTGCCGTTCAGTCTCATGGATTCTGAATTGAAGTTCTCTACTGCAAGTCACCCTCAAATAGATGATCAGACTAAACGGATCAATAACTTGCTGGAGGATTATTTGCCGCATTTTGTCACTACAAGTCAAAAAAAATTAGGTGGAGTTAATGGATACTGTCTAATTTTGCTACAACTTACACAGGTCTTCTGCTACACAAATGAGTTCTTGTAAATTGGTCATAGGACAACAACCACTTACTCTTCATGAAGTGGTGAAACAAAGAAACTGTGGTAAATGTCCTGTTGCATACCTATTTGCTCGTTCCAAGCAAGGGTTGATTGACGAGACAAAGGCCAATTGAGTCAAAGATGCCCGTCAAATGAACAAGTATGTCGATCAAGGTCGCAAGCCACTAAAATTTCAAGTGGGTGATCAGGTTTTGCTGAAATTGACTACTGCAATTTGGAAAAGGATCAATAGCAAAACAGTGTAATGTGGGCTAGTTCCTAAATATAACGGTTCCTTTGAGGTGATGAAGAAGGTTGGGAATGTTGCCTATTGTTTGAACCTACTTAATCGATTGAAAATTCACTCAATTTTTCGTATGAGTTTTTTGAAGCCTTTTTTGAAGCTACCAAATGGAGACAAGCTAAAAGGGCTCAGCCAATAATCAGGAAACAGTCTGATAAGGAGGTCGATAAAAATTTGTCTCATAGGACTATGAATCAAAGTAAGATGAATTGCAGAACAGATTTGCTAGTTCATTGGAAAGGTAGTTCTAAGGTAGATGCTAGTTAGAAAAGAAATGTTACTCTTTGACTGTTTAAGAAACAAGTTAAGGAGTATCGGTGGGGGTGGTTTGTTACCCCCTTTTCTTGTTGGCACGGCTATGGCATATGGGTACTAATCTAGTGGTGCCCCATGCCTTAGCCAAATTGAAGGAGTGTTTGGCCAAGCATTCCCGTTGTGTGAAGATAGTTTCCTCAAGATTTGGTCATGTGCTTGGTTTCATATCAAGGGTGATTCAACAAAAGTTCTAGTTGGTTTGCAACGACTATGCCCTAGGCTCACGTCATTATGATTCCTCGATTCAGAAGATATCTGTTGCTACCACTAGGGTTTTGCTCACTAACACTATTATAAGAGAGTGCTCCGCCAAGGGGTGCCAAGCTAGCAACCCTAACAACCCCTATGCCCCCTAGCCTTGGCACATCAAAGTAATGCATGGTCCCAACAAATACTTCTATGGGTGTGGGCAAGGCATTTCAAAGTTCAAGACCTGAGATGTGTGGCCGATGTTTGGTGGAACCTGTCGTTGGAGGAAGCCCCATGCATGACTGAGGTAGGCCGCGCATGCATGGCCACGTTTGGCACACGCAAGCAATCATGGCTATTCGTGTGGGCTCAAATTGTGGCACATTGCAAGTTTGGAAGACCAAGTCATGGGCTGGGCATGGCTTGGCACATGGGCAAAAGAAAATCGATATTATGGGCTATCAAGGATGTCAAGTGCACGTCATGTGTGGCGGTTCCAAGCTGTTGCTGACTTGTGCACAACATAGGAGGCAATTCTAATCAATTGCTTGTTGGCGTGTGCACAGCATGCAACGCGATTACGAGCAGTTGTTGGTTGAGTGTTACAACTACTCTGGCCATATTCAACAGATGTTCAGCACAATTGTGGGGAGTGGCAAAACCCCCACAATCCTCGAGGGAAAATTTGATTGGTGACAAAAATTCTAGTAGTTAGGGATGTAAACTGCATGGTTGTGTTGGCCAAGGCTAGTTGGTGTCAGCGTTGCTAGGCGGTTGAGCTTGCAATTGCCATTGTATGTTTTATATACACATATTGGGGTATGTAGTGTACCAAGAGAGTTTGGACACATTTTGTAAGCACCCATAGTTGGAATCCTTTAAGCTTGTTGAGAAGAAAAAAGGTTGGGTTGTTTGGCTAGTAATCTCGTGTGCCAGCTATGTGTTTGATTCTTACCCATATTTTGTTCAATATATTGTTTCTGTGAGCAATTGTATAAGTTTGGCTAAGACTCAGTATGGGATCTCAATGCCATCGCAAGGCAAAAATTTGAGTGAAATTTGACCCCTTGCCCTTGTGACGCAAGCCTTGATACTCAAAAACCCACTTTGATCTAATATGCATACTTCATCCATTAGAAATTGCACTGGGTTAAAAAAAGGATCCAGCAACTTGGCCTTCCATCTCAAATATCCTCTTCCATACCAAGACTTTTCCATCTCAGTTTAATCTTACCGTCTCCCCAAGTTCCTAGTCCAAAATCTAGTTACCAACGGACATTATGTCACATTTCAACTCGAAATCCCAAAAAAAAAATTTGGCCTGAGCATTATGTCTATTTTTCATCATTGTTAATTATCTAGTTGAAATAATAGCCTCCTCAACCCTTCTTTCTACCCTCCTGCCACCAACTTCCACAGAATGATTTGAAAGTTCAAAATCCAGCCACATATTCAGAGAGAGTGATTTAAAAAATCAAAATCCAGCCACATATTAGCAGAATTATATCTTCCTGAGCCCCATCTAATAATTATTAGTCCCCAACATGGGGACAATAACCGCATGATAGTCTCAACCAAGCCTATTAGAACAAATATTGACACTTAATTAGGCACCTGCTCAATGTTTCAATTGGCTATCACCTTACAATCAGGCAACTAATGTTCTCAGCATTATTGATATTAGCTTCAATCAACTTGACTTTTTAGGGAATCCTCGACCGTCAAAGGCTATAAATGTCTGCTGAGTTGCAATGGCCAAAATCATCAAGCGTAGATAATGTCACTTGCATTAGTCCTAATAGAAAGACTAACCAAAGGACATATTGTAAACCACAAAGAAAGATAAATGTGATTCACTTTTAAAACATATATGGAAAGAGATGTTCTTCTATCATACACCTTAGTGCGTATATCTCCAGGTGTTCACAAAATGAATAGAGAATTCAATATGCAAGAAGTATAACGAATTATAAGATTGAACATCATAGAAGTTAATTATCCTATCCAGTAAGCCAACAGAGTCCTAAATTCAGTCAAAGAACTAAAATTTATAAATGCAGTAGATTTCCTAGTTTCAATGGACTGATCATTATACATAATATGCTCCTCAAAACAAGCATCAATTCCACAGGAGATGACACAACACAATTAAATTGCAACATCTCTAGGTTGACACAATGAGAGAGCAACATGATATCCAGGTTTTGATAAAACTACGCTGAATATGTTGATATCATACACGATGAAGAAAATCTAACTGTAAAAGTATCATCAAAAATCTGTTAAAAATAAACTCAAGAGTTCAACAACAAAAAAACAAAGCAAGAAAGCTGCAAACCTTTGACCTCGGTGTTGGCTTTAGGAAGAAGGATGATGTTTTGCGCCATGGCCAACTAAGTTCAAAGCAATGAAGTGACCTGAAAGAGGAAAATAGCTGTCTACCAAATAGCCAAAAAAGAAGAATAAATGCAAGAAACTCATAAAGCACATAGATTTGAATATAAAGCTCACCAAAAATATTCATTAAAATCATCGTAATTTCTCCAGGCAGAATGAGGTGCTCGCCCATTATCATTGTTTGCAGCTTCCTGCACAGTACCAGAATCGTAAAAGTTTTGCAAACGTAAAGTATTAGATGAAATTAGAATTCATTTATATAAAGCAAAAAATGTCCAGCTTCATTGATCAGCAGCAAGAATATTCCAGCGCAATTAACATGATAGTCACCATAGATCCGAACAACATATCCTAGTAAATAATGTTTTTGTTTTATCAGATCACTTGCTAACATCTAAAAGAATCAGACAACCAGGAAGTTTTAACCCAAGGGTAAGAAGACGGACGTGATATGGAAATATAATCTGTTTTTTGACTTCTTTTTTGTGCCTCTGTATCCTCATTTTGTGGCAAATCCATTATGTTTTATTAGGGCATAAAGAAAACAGTTTGTGATTTGTAACTTTTTGTTTACTTTTCCTACATTTCTTTTTATGTCTTTAATATCAGAACTTTGCATATCCATCTAATTAGTTTCCCACGTTAACCAACATTTTCTTTTTGTTTGAAGATAAATAACATATACAAATAATAAAAATGCAAAGCTAGTCCTATCGTGGACTGCAAAGTATTATGTTTTTAGCTCAAAGAAGGGAAAATTTCATCCCCATCCTTTTGTTGATTATCCTATATCCAAGTACACAACCTATATTACATGAAACTTTATTGTATTCCTTCCATTCTATATGTCCACTTGCCCCAGCTTGGCGAATCGCATCCCATTAGACATTCTATGTGCGACTGGGAAAGTAGTCGTACAAGCAAAGCATATTGCACGCCGACCATCAAAAGACTTAAAGACATGTTCAGAAACCCTGCTGACTTTTAGGGTGTTTTCTGACAACATGAGCTTCCTGCTCCAACTCTACTTAAGTAATTGGAGTCTATTATTGTGTTTATAGTTAGCAATCAATTAGATATGCCATATAGAAAGAGATGGCAACAGCTGGCTACCAGCTTTGCTTTTGCTATTAGCTCTTGTTAATACTTTAAGTGCAATAGCTATTCACAACCCAATCATGGCTAACCATAACTAACAAGTCAAAACAGCTCAAGTCATGCTACATTTTTGTAAAAATTACCCTTATCATCATATTATCCTCTCTTTCACCCTGGCCTACATCTACTGCAGCATACCACCCCAAAGCTGAGGCCTTTTTGGGAGGTGTTTAGAGGTGGAAGTTGAGGAGGTAGATTAGTGGTAATGGGTTTGTCAGAAAAGGACGATGGAGAGGGATTGGGGTATTTTCAATGGGGTGGGGACATTGACACACCAATTTCTCACTTAGATCTTCACAGATCTTGATGACAATTAGATTTTTATGGACCACCACAAAAATTTCAACAGGTTAATCAGTTTCACATGGACAGAATATCTCCATTTCTCCACGGCTGAGCTACAAGATTTTGACTTATGACTAAATGATTGGTAAGAAGAAAATGTTTTCAGCACCAATACCAAATATATCGATTGTGTGTAGGTGTCTGTGCTAAGCTGAGGCTGGAAAGAAATGAGATCAATTGTGCTCTGTGGGTTGCAGACCTACCCATTTAAAACTCGGCATAGTTCATAGCTCAACAAATGTATTTCATACACTAATTTTTATATAGTATAAGGCTTACCCAGGTAATACCCTTTCAAGCACAGCAATGCGTGTCCCTTTCAAGACAAATCCCCGTAGACCAACAGAAACAGACTCGGTCAGAACAAATTTGATTTACAACTAATTCCCACAATCCAGAACCAATGGCTTTACAGTGGTGAAATGCACCATTTCAAGACACATTGGACATATCCAATTTAGCACATCCCACAGGACACATCAAGTCCGCATGCTCACCATAAACAAGAAGCCTAGAAAATCGATAAGACGAATTGCTCAACCTGGTGCTTCTGCACAAACTTGAGTGGAAGACAACAACTTGGCCCATATAACATCCTACAAAAAGAATATACTTTCTGAAGGCCAAACAAATTTTGTCTGAGAGAAATCCTACAAAGGGCATGGGTTGGGCACCAATAGCTCTCTCTCAGTCTCTCTCTCTTCTGTTAATAAATATGTATACATAAGAGTATCTGGTGGGATAATAATTCTCATTATTTTTGTCTGCGACAAACTCTAATAGAGCGTACCAATGAAGTTTCACATAAATACCAACTGTTAAGGTGAGAAATACCTTACTGATAGAGCTAAGAAATGTGGAATTCTATTTCCTTGGATAAGAGGGAAAAAAATACATGGTCAGTACTTGTGCACTAACTTCTAAAATCGCAAAACAAAAAAGTAACATTGTAGTCCTAAATATAGGCCAACCCTCATGGATAGACAAATAGCCCCTAAAGTCTTCTAACATACTATATGGAGGGCACATGATTATATAGGAAACCTCCCTCCTTGTTTCCCAATGAATAGAACAGACCACATGTTGAGAAATGTCAATGAGCCCATGCAAAAAACTCCATGCCTCCAAAAATCTTGAGATTTGTAATTAACCCAATCTATAATATTTGTATCCCATTGCTCCTAGCTACCAAAACCTAATTGATAAAGCCATAACATCACCTGTAAAATTATACACCATCTGACAAGCCAAAACTAATAATAATGCAAGATCCCACCATCTTCATCCATAAAGATATCACCAATGCTAATTGGTCCAGGTTGGCTCGGGAGGGAGCATCGATCAAAAATATGAACTGAATGCTTCGCTAACAGGCAACAGATCAATGGATCAATAAAATGATACACAGTTCGCTACAAAATCAAAGCTTTGACACACCCCCAAGAACTGTGATTTTCAAGGCTTTCCACATGTACAAGCAGTCCATTTAGGACAGAAAAACCATGCCAGGGTTCACTGACACAAGTTAAACTAATTAGCCTTTCTCTAAGTATTAACCAAATTGGCCCACCACAAAATTCTGAGGTTTTTAACATGGAACCCACTACACAATGATTAAGCAATTGATGCAGAATGAAAGGATCTCATGATTTATGAATAGGATAGCCATGTTATACAAACATCGTCCATGTCAATAATCTCATAATATATGCAATATGGAATATGAAATAGACAAAATTAAAATTACATGGATACTTTTTCTGTTTTTTCTATTGGTTGTTCAATAAAATGTCAATTTTTCTCTTCTCTTAAAAGAATGTGACCACAATAGGGTTTCAGATGTACACTAGAGGGAAAGAAATTAATTGAGGACTCTCAATTGGTTTTTCTCATTGGGTGTTAATAACTGAAGTCAATTGTTATGTGCTCCACTTGGATATCCTTTTCTGATATTTCCGCAGGCACATAAAAAAATAATAGGGAAAATTATCAGAAATCCCTTGAAAGATTTATTCAATTCCGAAATCCCAAAACATAGCTTGATTATCCAAAATAACCCAAAAGAAAGATTTCCAACATCAAAAAGCCCAATAGTTAAGTCTTTATTAAGCACCATGTTTGCACAAAAATGACCGTCACTCTATAATGTAATAATGATTAAAGTCGTATGCATTTACTAGGTAATTTTCAGTTATATAAGTTGTCATGATTATAACTTAAAATGAAAGACGTTTAAGTTCAAACAAGAATTTTTGTGACGATGTTTAGGATAGATCAGCACTGTTTGAATATGCTTTTTTTAGATAACATTCTAAATTACGTCATGGATCTTAATCAAGTGCATCAATAAATTTATAGTAGGATCACCCATGAAAGTGCAAGCTTCTAAGTAACTATTCAACAAAACCTACCACAATCATTGGTTAGCAATAATTAGTTGAACCTACATCGTAACAATCAAACTATTCAATAGGATCAAGACACATTTTGCCACACCGTATATTGGTTATTTTCTTAATATGACGCCCGTTAAGCAATCATCTAATCTAAAAGCTTAAAATGTTGGAGAGGGTATAATTTCAGTATTTATACTTCAACACGTCCCCTCACATGCAAACTAGATTTTAGCGTAGCACTTGAAAAAAAATTTAATAATTAGGGTAGTGGCGAGATTGACCTTCTACTCTAATACTATGTTAAATAGTCATCTACTCTAAAAAGTTAAGTAGTTGGAAAAGGTATAGCTTAAGTATTTATATTTCAACAATGCCCAAACTAATCATGGGAAGGATAGAAGCCTATGTAAGATTAAGTTTCCAATGTAACAGAACAACAACAATCTGCAAGTTGAGACCTTCACAATATAAACATAATTGTCACTATGAACTCTCACGCAAGGATCAAAATTTTGGTTCATTGTTTCGGTGAACTAGGAAACATAAACAAAATGGAAACAAATAGAAAACTTATGAATTTATTTCAAAAAATTGCAAAACACTATCAAAATATACTAAAACACCTTGAAACAGTCTGAAACACCTTAAAGTGTTGGAATTTAAATTCAAACACTGCTTCATTTCGGTCTCTTTTAGAAACATTTTGGCTGTTTCGAAACAAAATTTTGATCCTTGCTGTCACATCAAACTAAAGCATGGATAAATTCAGTTAAGCAGCTCTGTTTGATTGATAATTCCACTATTACATAAAAAAGTGAAATAAAGTGGAACTGCAACATACCGCAGCAACCACCTCATAGAGAGGACGTATAACTTGATCAAGAAAGGAAACATCATTCCCGGAAACACAGCTGCTGGCTGGCTGCGCAATTTGCTGCCGTAGTATTTCTTCCAATTCCCTTCCCATCTGTTCATTAAAGTTGTTGACCATAAAGAATAAATGACTTGGGCAACAAATGACGATAATCAAATGCACAATTACTACCTATACTTCAAAACAGGATGGATAAACTAGAATGCAAACCACGAGAAACAGATTATTCATTGTGAAGAGTTCAAAATTAGTAACGGTAGGAAATAAGAATAAACATTTTTTTGGAGTTCCAACCGCCAGGGCTATACAAAAGGGTCACAATCCCTCTAACAATAAATCTCTTATTACCCCATCTCTCTCTAGTAGGACTTGAACCCTGCACTTTCCACAAGGAAGGAGCAGGAGTACGAGTATCACCTTCAGCAACAGCAGATATCACCAAGGAACCAAGTTATATTTAAAGAGTCGCTATCCCCAAAATTTTACGAGAGGCATGAAATGATTTTAAGAGGCCCAAGCATTGCCCCAAAACACTACAAGATGTTGGCGTAGTGCTTTATAAGCAAAAAAATGAATTAACCTAACATGTATAGATAGCCAGAATGAAAAGAGAGGAAAGACAGGAAAGGAACGAAAGGACATATTTATCAAACAAGGGAAGTCCCAATAATTGGAAATAGAAATCTTAATGCATCATCCTTCCTGCACAAGCACAAGATTTAAAAGAATTTGGGAATTGGAGGAAAAAAAAATTGGGCAAGTGTCACTATGTTGCTAACATATATAACAACCAATTCTACAGACAAACAAGCGATGGAAAGGAGAACAACTCTAACAATTCATTCCACATGACCTACATGGTGAAATATGTAGCACAAGCATTCTGGAAGAAATCGAACGTTGGAGGCTTCACCCCATATCAGAAAGTACAAAGAAATGAACAATAACTTCTTTTCCTTGCTGACAGCCTCCAGACTGCAGAAGACCAACACAGACAATAAAAAGTTCATGAGCTGGAATCATTGTAAGGGTATATATACATGTCTGTATGTAAATACATGCGCACTCACGATCATATACAACAAAAAAATTCCTCTCTTAACAGCCACAGTCAGATTCAAACAAGTTGGAAATTCCTTACTTGCTCCATACTGGTTGGATACACAGATAGTTACACCACTTTATGTAGTTCTCGAGGGACTTCAAAAATACCTTCTGCACAGCAGTCTCATCCAACTTCTGTAGCAAAACCATAAATAGAATCTCAGCTGAATGATGGATCAGGCAATAAGACAACACTTGTGTAAAATACACAGTGAAGAATCAAATAAAGAGTCCTAAATGTTCTCTCTACTTTCTATGTGTATATTAGCACAATAATCCAATGGCAGTGGATCCTAGAATATCATAGGTCTCAGTTGTTTAGAAGGAACAATATGTAAGGAAAAACTATTTCATATTATATATATAACATAACACAATGATCCTGCTGTGCAGCCTAACAGAATAGGTATCTGCTGTTGAAAGTAACATGGGTTAGACAAAGAGAAGAGTTAGTTCTATCATTCTATATCAAAAAAAATAGCTTGTACATGTGAGATACAGCAGATTTCTGATGGCACCAAGCATTTTTACTGAATACCAGCTCCAAAACCTTTCCAATAATCATTCCCTCCCCTCCCCCCCCCCCCAAAAAAAAAAAAAAAATCACCCCACCATTACACCCGCAGAACTAACTGAAATGATCTAAATTTTTGTTTAAAAAAAGGAAAATTCTCAAATAACATGGAAGAAAATGTGATATTCTTCTAGAAATGACATAGTGGGAACCATGGCAAACCTGCTGGACATTCCAGTAATTATGCATCTTAAGCCCCCAGGCACTACGGAAATGATCTAAATTTTGAAGAAAAAAAGTTATCAACAAACATGAAAGAAAATGTCTGATATTCTTTTAGAAACAACATAGTGGGAACCATGGAAACCTTGCTGGACATCCCAGTGATTATGCACCTGAAGCCCCCAGCACTACTGAAAAAAAATGTCTGATATTCTTCTAGAAATGACATGGTGTGAACCATGGAAAAGTTGCTGGACATTCCAGTGATTATGCATCTTATGCTATGCACGTGATCATAAAGATGTGAGACCCACCGGTTCAAGTTCTTCAGGAACACGAAGCCGACTTTGCTCATTAGCAAGGAGGTGAGCAATATGTTCACGTTGATTGGAAACATTGTCTTTCTGCACAACCAACATTTCACTATTACAATCACAAGATCCAATAAATCACAAAAAAAACAACTAGTAAAAGTTGGTTGGTCCAGGTCTTATTGAAGGTCACGAGCAAGCAAAAATTAAATAATTTCGGCAACAGATAAGAAGCAATATCAACTTCTAGTATTTGCACCAGCGTTATGCTCAAAAAAGTAATGGCGCCAGCATTATTCTCAAAACCAGCAAGTTAACTGAAGAAAAGAAGAGGCAATGTCCCATAGGATACATGCAGTAAAAGAGACCAAAACAAAAAGGAATAATTGCACTCAAGCTAGATAATTACAAAAGTTAACTGAAGACACATCCTTTGAAGACACATCCTCTGAATCACATCCTCTGAGTCCAAGATATGGTACGACATTATTGGATTGCCCCATGAAAATCATCATAAACCCACTTTAAAATAAATGACTCAACTCCATTCTCAAGATAAAACAGCATACTTGAGCAAGTATTCTAGAATTTCTATAAGTGTTGTAAACTGCGAGCCTAGGCCCAAGGCGCAGGTCTAGCACTTACAAGAAGCCCACACGAGGCGATTGCAGAAAAGCGGGTGCGTGCTTTGGGCTTGGGCGCCAGCCCCTTTAAGCAATTGTTTTTTTGAAATTTTTTCTACAATGCTTTTTAGACCATAAGATATGTCTATTATAATTTATAATACTTGTATGATATATTACCACACTTGATTTTGGTCCTTGGGATATAAATACTAAACCCTAACCTGTCTCTCTAATTGCAATTGGCTCTCAAGAGTAGAGAGACTCAACACAATGGAGCAAACTGCCCTTCAAGAAGACGGAGCAAACTCATTCCAGGTTAGTCTTCTTATCTTCCTCCTTTTCTTCGTCTTCTCTTCTTCTTCTTCTTCTTCAACTGGAACCCGATCGGCAGAGCTGGCTGCTTCTTCTTCTTCTTCTCCTCCTCATCCTCCTCTTCTTCTTCTTCTTCCTGGTCCAACAATTGCTGCAAGCAACTGATTTTCGGGCCATATTTTTCTTATTTTGGTACTGCTAGCTGCTGGGTATTCTCCTTACTTCTCTTCTTTTGATCATCCTCTTTTCTGATTTTTCTTTTTCATTTTGGTACTTCTGGTTGCTGGATATTCTCTTTTTTTCTGTTCTTTAAATCATCCTCTTTTCTCTGAGTTTTCTACTGGGTCCTCCAATGGCTTCTGTGTTTTGTTTGTTAAGTGAGTTATCTCTTTTTTTCTTTTTTTCTGTCACTTGTCCAATTTTTTTTTTGGTGCACCAATCTCTGTTTTGTTCTAGATCCTTGGATGTTTGTGGTTTATTTATTCCATGACTTTGGATGTTTGTGGTTTGGACAAATTTGACTATTTTGCAATTAAAAGTTTGAACTTGGATGCCTCCTAATTCAGGATATGCTTGTGTTATTGTATTTTAAGTATCCTTAGGCTTCTTTGGTTGTCTTGTAATGTTTATCACTTGGTTGAAAAATATTTTGATATAAGATAAAATATTCATTTGTAATTTACAACGTGCACTTCACTTCAATAAAGCCCACACTTCACTTTGCGCCTTGTGCTTAGGTCAGGAAGACATTAGCACTTCGGTGCATCTTACGCCTTAAGTAACACTATGTCTGTCGCATAGTGATGAGCAAGTGTAGCATTTTCTTTTAGGGTCCATTTTGTTAGAGAAAAAAGAATGATGTGGAAAGTGAAAACAATAGAAAGTGAAGTGATTGAAAAGAAAATGTGTTTTTTACAATAAAATTTTTCAAGAATGTTATAAGACAATTTCAAATTTACAATTTGAAAAGCATGAAAAATAGAAAAATTATTGTACTTACTAAATTACCTTTTTCATTTTAAACAACATAATAAACGTAAAAATTAAAGGGTTGCTTGGTAACTGTCTTTGTCCGGTGTTTTGTATTTTTGTTTTCAATTTTTTTCAAAAATGAAAACAAAAATACGTTTGGTAACTGTTTTTATTTTTGTTTTGTATTAGTTGTATTAGCGACAAAGACAAAAAAATGGGAACAAAAAATTTATGTTCCATGAAACACGCGAAACACAAAACACGCTGGATTGGGTAATAACGTCTCAACTTCGACTCCTACTAGCCACAAAATACCACTCCATATGAGAGAGTATAAATATGGGGTCTTAATCGTTTGGTCTCACCGAACACACAACTCAGTAGATCGACGAAGAAGGCCAGCTCTCATCGCCTCTCTTCTCTTCTCTATCTCAGCGAGCTGACGAAGAAGGCTTACCTCAAGAAAATGGACTTCCAGTCACAGATCGACGAAGAAGGAGCTTCCTTTCGCTGTGAAGGTAAGTGTAATCCCTTAACTTGTACAAATATATGTGTATATATACATAGATATGTATATATATGCATAGATCTGTACATGACAGCCCCCATTTTTTGTTTTATCTGTATATATATATGCATAGATCTTCCTTTTTTTTTGTTTAATCTGTATTTTTTCTCCATAATATACATAGGTCTGTATTTTTTTCTCTCTCTCTCTCTGTGTCCGTTTTCGTTTGACATTGCTTCACATTCTACCTTCTCTCTGTGAAGCATGTGATTTCTTACTCATGTACCTATGTAATTTTTTGAATTCTTCACTAGATTTATATGTCAGTGTGTAAAGTGAATATTTCTGCTTAATAGTCTTTTTTTTTTGTTAGGGTTTTAGTTTGTATGTCTAAGCAATGTACTACCTTTATCTACTTTGCATATTTTTTTGAGTCACTGATTCGTTGATTCGAAACTCGGAAGAAAATGAAATATTGAATACCCACAAATAAGGAAATCTTGAATACCCACGAATAAGAATTTTTTGAATTTTCGGACCAGACTACCTTTATCTAGTCTACTTAAGTGTCTTGTGTAATTTATTCAAAGCTTCCATATATTCGAAAAATTGATAAAATTCCATTTATAACTCACTAGCTACGACCTCAATTCTCATGTTAACTTAATACAGTACATGTTAACTTTGTTGAACAACAAATTCATACCCGTAAACCTTTAAATTGCAGGGGGTGGGGGAGTTGCAGGGGGTGAGTTTTGATTTTGCATCAGGACCAGTCCAGGATACCTATTGCAAGGAGGAGGAAAGTTGTATCTTGTGGTCAGTAGGTTTGAATCTGCAGACTGAGAGTTCTATTATCAGACTGTGTTCTATGATTAGGATGCATGGAGCTTATTTTGATATATTTCTGAAGGCTGGATAGTTGGTCTGTGGAAGATAGATGTTTGGTTTAAATCCTTTTGAAGGATTAAAGCCAACTCTTGCATCTAGAAGAGGATTGTTAACAGGAACTGCTCTGTTATTGATCTGTTGTTGCTAGGGATCTGTCAGACTGTGATGTTGTCTGGGTGGTGTTATTGTGCTGCTGCTTGAGCTGATTTCTGGACAGCTTGATGAAGGATGATTGGAGGAGGCCATACCAGCAGTATTGTCTATTCTTTGTAATAAGACTGTTGGTTGTGGTATAATAGAATTCTGTTAGGAAATAGAAAATTTGTTTGCTGTTTTTTCTGTTAAACAGATTTTTTGTTTTAGTTTGATCCTTGTTGAACAGAATCTGTCTGGATTCAGCTGGGAAGAGAGGTTCTGGGTTATATCAGGACTTATCTGCTATGGTTTTAGAGGAGCTGTCTGCTGTGCCAAGAGCTGATTTGCATTGGTCAGGCATCTGGTGTGTAGCTAGAAGGCCTGGGCAGCTAGGAGCATTTTGTCTGTTCTGGTCTGCTTCTGCATTCAGTCTAGGCTGGTGCTGTGCTGATCTGTGCAGGAGCTTGGAGCTGGTAATCTAAGGCATGGAATTGGACTGCTGGAGCTATTCAAGTTTAAGAGCCTTTTATTGTAATTTGAGATGGTTTTGATCCTTTTGAAGGATTAAAGCCATTTTTTCTATTTTTTAGATCATCTTGTTCTTTGATTCTTATAATTCATTATTTTTGGGAATAAAATTTTTTCCTTTAAAAAAAATAAAAAAAAAAGAGGGTTTAGTTTGATCCTTGTAATTTCTGAATTCATTCAATAAAATTTCTATTTTTTTAAAAAAAAAATGATATATTATAAAGCATATTTAGGATAAAACGTAAAGTAGTTACCAAACATGTTTTTTGTTTTTTATTCTCATAATTTGATAAACAAAAATGACACCCAAACGTGTTTTCTGTTTTGGTATTTATCATAAAACAGAGACAAAAATTGTCTCTGTTTTTTATTGTTTTGAAGACGCGAAAACAAAAACGTTACCAAACGACCCCTAAGTCCTTTTGTTTTCACTATATTTTTAGAGAAGTCAGTTGATAAAAAGATCATTGTGTTTAAGTAATAGTAATGTGATATTAACATTTGTTCAATCCATACTTGACCCCTATTTATAATTGTATGTAATCAGCTTTAGATCATGTAGGTTCGCCTTGTGTCAGGCTTACGGTATATATAGGTTGTGTACTATGTCAAATTCATGTTTTGTTTAACCAAATTCGTGTCCATCTATGTGTTTGATGGGTCTAATAGTTTAACCTCCTAACTAATAATCCTGCTAATTGTGTTTAGAATTTTCTGTTCTAAATATCTGTCATTGTAAGATCAAATTAGTAATAAAAGTTAGTAGAGCAAACATGACCAATACTTTGGTCAGAAAAGAAAAAAAAAACTGGCCAAAACACTAAATAAAATTATTTCATTTTTTAGGCTAAAATGGTTCTTGGGTTCAGGTTTCAACAGAGAGAGATTGCGTAGGGAATGGTTTTGGGTGCAAAGGAGTCTGTGTACCAACCAATGAGAATGAGATTTGGAGAAAGATGAACATGAGCAGAGTAGGAAGATAACAATGCAAGATGATTGTTGCCATCTTGCTACCTACTGTCACGTTAAAATGTAAATTTCCCCACACATTTTGCAGGAAAACAAGAGGGTTGTACACAATATGGGGTTGTACAGGAAAAACGATTTTCTTCTATTTTCTTTCATTTCCATGCCAAACAACCACATAAAAAGTCTTTTGTTTTGCTCTTTCCAACACTTCCCAGCTAAACAAACAAAGCCTTAAATGGTACAGTCAACTGAAAATTGTGGAATCTCTTGTTTTTTCTTCTTTGAATGGATTCAGCTACGCCAAGATAAATGAGTGATGTATTTCGCTGTTGGAATGAAGCATGCTTGAAAGTGCCACAAAGTAGATGAATTTAAACGAGATCTTTTGAAAAACAGGAAATTCCAAATCACCGACTGAATTGAAAAGAGACTTTTAAGTACCTTGTATTTACAGTTCAAAATGCCTTTCCACTTTTCTTTAGATTATGTTGTAGTGTTTTTGAAGAGCTTTTCTTTTGATGTGAATATGTAGGATGGTCTCTACCTATTGTATATCCTTGGTTGCACCAAATAAACAGTTTGTGATTATTTTTGCTTCACATAGGATGGTCTCTACCTATCACATAACCTTGGTTGCACCAAATAAACTAAAAAAAAAAAATGAACAGTTAGTGATTATTTTTAAAAGTTAAACATTAGATAAAAGGCTGCCACATAAAACCCTTCTAGTAAACGATTTTTTAACATTACAGCACAAGAGTAAATTCTCAAATTATGTACTTTAAATCGTAGGGTCAAACCAGGCTGTGAAACCCGAAAATCAATTAGTACAAGTTTCACTCTGCAAACATGTATGATCTATAAAGGCAGATAAGTAAAAGCAAGGAGGAAAGTTAGATCAATATTTACCATACGACATATCTGTACATAAAAATTTTGGCAGTTTATACATAGTAGAAGTTCGCAGCCCCAGGCAAAGAAATGAGATAACAAGAAATTCCAGATATCACATGCACCTATTTGAAACTTCAAAAATTAAGAAACCAGTGAAAAATTTCAGCCTTTTGGGAATTATGAACATAATTTCACATTTAACCATTGAGCCTTCAATCTCTCAATCAAATTTTTATGATGAAACAACTTAATAAAAAAAAAAAATCCAACAAGGCCAAAAAAAATATAAGTATGGAAGCAGATAACAAACAGCTTCGAAAACCACATCATCCTCAAAACACAAACCTGAAATCCAAAAACACATTGCAGGAAATCTAGCATATCTGCATCCCTGGTAGCAGGTATCGGAAAATTCCCTGGCAATTTTGGTAGGCCCCTGAAGTACTTTAAGGCTGACACTGCCGCCCGTACCTGATCGTGAATTTCATCAGTTTATACATAGCAAGAGAAGATCAGCAATAACACAAGAGCCTAATGCAGGAGATAAAGAAACTTAATCACCTCCGGAAAAGAAATGATCACATTTGTTATGGTAGGAGCATCCAGTGGAATAATGTTATAGGCAACTAGATCCTGTGTCATAGCTGCATCTGATTCCATCACGCGTTTCAACTGCAAAATATAGCAGCCACAAACAAGCAACCATTCAGAATTCAAAACTATGGGCAAAAACAACAAAAAAGAGATGATCAAACATCAAAACAAATTATGTGAAGGATCCCCTTTGTCAGGTGAAAGCGTCTCCTTTCCAAATAACCCTGGGAGAAATAGAAAACTGAGCTTTCTTTTATCCTTTAGGAGCTGAGTTGAAGTCGACACAAGGTGGCAGAGAACCGCAGTGACTTCATGTCTTTTCTTTGCCACCGTCAGAACAAAACTCAAGGAGTTCGTAATAGTTGATTTTCACACGGCCCAATCTTCACAGCTACATTTGTGAGTTTATTTTTGAAATAAATACAGAGACCATTCCTTTTTTCTTTACTCTGTTGCTTTTTTTTTCCTCTTCACAAAAAAAAAAAAACAATTACTTGCATCAGTGGGGAAAAAAAGGAAAAGCGCACCTAAACAAGGAAGAGAAATCCAAGGAGGGGGATACAACCATGCTCTATGTTGTAAACAACCGAACTCCTCTGTAGCCAATTGAGACCAAACTCCCTCCATCCACAATCTCAGCTGCGGTCCTGATCTTATACTGGCTGATCTAACCATGCTAATAAGCACATATGGATAGCCACAGGCCTCGCACAACAAAAACAGAGAGCCACAAGCCTCCCGCAAATCTTCTAGAAGAGCAAGAACTCCAGTTTTGGTGGTGAATCCCTTACAATATCCTCACCCAACTTAATTACTTTTAATTTAATGAATTTTATCCTTTAGCTGTAATACAATTCATCAAAACTACAGCCTATCACATATATTAACAGCCAACAAGTGGTAGCTGGCTCCCTAACACATGGCCAAGAATTTCACTCAAACCTACTGCACATAAAAATATTACTGGAATAATAAGTGCATGAGTAGTTGCCTAATTAAGGCAAGTACTCTGGTCACATAAGAAAAAGCAACAACCAGAGATCTAAGTGAATCAGAAATTAAACCTCTTCAGGAATTAATTTTTCTGCCTCTTCAGGCGAAACCTCCTCAGTCAACTGCTCAAGTACCGACCCTAATACTTTCAGAGTTGCAAAAACCCTTTTCCTTTTCACAGTTTTACGTTCCAACCTGAGTTAAAAAAAGAGATGATAAATCATAGTGATCATAATTGGACAGCGAAAAACATAAAACAATGAAATGATTTTCAATAAGGTACAATTAGTCCTTTATAAGTACTATTAGATGAGATGTGTACTTCAAAAATGTTGCTAAAAGTGTCCCAATATGCCATCAACACTTCTTTGTGGATAAGAGAATATTGTTCTCACAAAGATTCTTTCAATGAAGAATTATACAAAAACTAATACAAAACAATATAGGCTCAGTATAATAAGAAGACCAACAATACCATATGCTATGCAACACAAGGTTGCTGCCTTGGGTTCCAGATAGTAGTAAGCTAAAGGCATAAAGAAGAAGCACAACCAAATATGGCATCATTCCTTTCCATACCCAGCAGCCCAATGCCAGATCCTCCAATTTACTATTCTCTTTTATATAATTTAATAATATTTTATTGTTTCCTATCAAAAAACACCAACTTCCTTCAAGTGAAAAACACCATAACTAGGGGAGCAGAATATGAGGAATTATCTTTGGTTAGGCATGGGAGAGGAGAGGAGAGATCATTTAATGAGTCGGGATGCAGCTTGGACAGCTAGAGAGGAAGGGGGTTTGAGACATGATAATTTGGTGTCTAAAAACATTTCCCCTGTTAGTAAATGAGAGTGCCAAAAGATTTGAATGGTTGGCACCCTAAATTAGGCTACAATTTAACTCATATGAATAAACGGAAATTGATTTCATAGGTACATCATTATTGTGTTCCTCTAATTCGTTACAAGATTGAAGATAGGTCTAAAATTTTATTTTGGGAGGATACTTGGACAGCGTTTAATATTGTGTTTCAGTTTTTCCATGTTTTTGTCATTTTTCCTCCATTCATAAGGCTCCTATTTTTCGTCTTCTTGTTCTGTTAGAATACTAATTCTTGGGATACCCATTTGTTAAGTGCCTCTATGATAAAGAAACAGCAGATTGAGTTTCTTGCTTGAAATTCTTTATAATTTTCATCCTACTTCTCACGGTTGTAGGCTTGACTGTGGATGATTCTGAAAACATTTCTTGTAGCTCTTTTTTTTTTTCCCTACCTTGTAAGCTCCAAGAATGATCATTAGTTTTCCTTAAGACAAAATCATCTGGAGATCAAAAGTTCCCTAAAAAGTCAAGCCTTTTTGTGTGGTTTCTTATTCTTCACAGTTTAAGCACTCGCTTTTATTGCATATGAGGTCTTGTAAGGCGTTTAGTCCTGATATTACCTAAGAATTCTTGGGCATTCCCCCTGAAAGTGATGTATTGCACCCGCACCCCGGTGTTTTGAAAAATGGGCAATGGGCGTCTCATTTTAATCACTCCAACATACTAAGCTTAGGTTTGCAACTTGGAATATAGAAACAGTTACAATAAAGTAATGGAATTTGTTGCAACCATGATTTACGATAAAAGTTAATATAATATGCTTACAAGAAACTAAGTAATTAGAAGAGAAATCAAGAGAAATAGAAAATACAAGTTATAAATTTTAATATCCTGAAAAAGACGGACATAGAAATGGAGTAAGAATAATAGTAGACCAAAATCCTAAGCAAGAAGTAGTAACTACTCTCCAGAAATAAGATAAAATGATACTAATTCAGCTTGTAGTAGGACAAAACAAAATCCTATGTATTATGGATATATTAATTATAAAATATATTGCTTAAAGCTATTCAAGTCTTAAGTAGATACATTTCACAGATCAAGGACCCGGAACGTAATTCTTTACCCAAAATTTTGGCCTCAATGATCCTATTTCCTTGGTCTTTGAAGAGATTAACTAAAAAGCCTAAGGGCAGAACCCGCTTATTGGGCTAAGGAGTTCCAAATCTTAGCAATGCAAAATAGAATATCTTTTTTTGGGGACAGAATAAGGAGGGCAAACCTATCTTATGCACATATCCATGTAGAACTCGACATACAAGATGCTCCCCATCAATTTGACAACTCCTGGTTGGAGAAAAGAGTTCAATAATACAGCACACACGGGCTTTGGACTATAAACAGCTACCGTTTAGGTGCAACCGTTGTCATGAATACAGTCGGGAGATGATATCCTAAACAAAACCAACTAATCCATCTATTAAATTCCAAGAGAAGACAGCTGGTAGGAGATCTCTACTCATTAAACCCCCTTGTATAGTAAAAGGAAAACAAAAGTGCACTCTTGCTCACCCGGAAGAAAGGAGATTTAGAAGCTTACCTTATTCATATTAAAAGGGGAAAGGGATCCAAACCTATCTTACTAATAATATATATGACTACAAAATAAAATATTATAGTTTTTGTCAATTAGTTAAGTCTTAACTATTAAGTGGGACATTATCTTAGAAGCCTTGCCCAAAACTAATAAAAAATTCTAGTTGAGTGATAATACGGTAGACTCTTAAACAGTCTCGGTAACCAAAGAGTCAATTTGACTCTTCATTTCAAATGCTCTACAGAGAGAGATGACACGTCGCCACATTGATCACCGAAATAAGGGATAAGGCTCGACAATCACGTCCTTCTACTTGACTACTTCAGAAGAAAAAGAAGAATAAGAGGAAACTTTGTTCACTATGATTCTTCCAATATTTTCTAAATACATATTACAAATTATATGAATTTCTTCTTCTATTTATGTATTTGTAAAAAGATGTCATTTAGGAATGAATGAATGACCAATTGATATAGGTTTCTATAATTTAGGGCTAAATTTGTGGGTCTTTGATTTTTTGCCAATTTTTCTTCATATTAGTACCGTTTTCTTTGGCTTTTTCTTCACCTCACGCTCTTGTTAAATTCTCACCCTCTTGTTCAATTCTGTTGCAAATCATCCAAGTCAAACCAGTGACCCTGAGTTGAACTAATAATGCCAAATCATGACCGAGTCGATGCCAATTCAAATGAGACTCGTTATATTTATGTAATGCCTATCATTATCGTATCAAAGGTGCCTGAGTCAACGCAGAGATGGTAGAAACTAAAACTGCAATTTTCAAATAGAAGTGTTAGTAAGAGGCAATTAAATATGGCACGGTTATATGGTTCATACTCTCCAAGGTCACCACTGAAAGCACCCGACTCCCTCAACTTCATTTCCTCTTCCCGTAGCTCGTCTACATTATGCTTCTCTCTATACTTCTTATAGAACTCCTGTAAGCGAGCAATGTCTAGACTTCTGTCAATGCTTCCACCTTCCCTCTTTGCAAGCTTTTGCTGCAAAATTAATAGAGAGTACAAGCAATTCATTGTATTGGAACTGACAGCTAGGAAATATACATCTATGGTTCACACGAATGAAACCCAATTAAAATTCATGAACATGGCAAAATAGAAGTCCTAAAAATATTTCTTATGCAAAAGTAGAATCCTTGCATCAGAGTGACACACATGCCAGAAGCAATAAAAGCAAACAGATTTAAAGTGTCCAAGGCGGTATCGTTTTGTTTTTCCTAATAAGAATGCTTATACTAAAATCATTTAATTATTATCAAGTATTGTACCAACATACATCTAAGATGCTAATCATCAATGCTTAGAAGTACCCCACATATTGATCAATATTGTAAAAAAAACATGTGCATGCATGTGCAAGCACATTTTTTCCTTTGTTCAAACAAAGTAAACTCAAAATGAGGTTCTGGAGAATGCAACACAACTCTTAACCATCTCATCAACAGAAAAGATACCTTGATTACAGACATCAAACCAGTCTTGAACTGTAACACGCCCCTTCCCTCGCTATTAGGATCTAAATTTTGAGCCAAAGAATAAGCATGCTCACATACTGTATCAAATCAACAAAAAGTTAACAGTTACAGATGAATAGAATGACTTCCATCAAGCATATTAGAAATCATTGCAGAATGCTAGGGGACACGGGGATCTTATGGAATAAATTTTCAAAGGGTGTCCTGCCCCCAAGCAAATGAATATCTTCAAGTTTTCCCAACATGGAAAATTAAAATAGCAACAGTGAGAAACAAATTATCCTGTTTGCAATGAACTAACAAGAAGCATCCAAACATTAACAGAAAACGACAACCAACAGACAAACCACGCAGTTTAATACACTTGTTTTTGTTATTAATGAAGAATAATACTATGAGATATGAGATAATAGCAGCACTCTATGGAGGACAAGATACCCTTACGAGATTGAAAAAAAAAGACCAACAAAAAGAAAACTGAAATAAAACCACCTTTCACCCAGCTGAAAATCCAACCAAGGCACCCCATATCTAGATGCAGGTGGCAATTACTTTTAAACCATCAGATAAATTTGAGCCCTCCTCCAAAAGTTCATCACCATCTCTTATAATATTCAAACATCAGATTTTGAAAATATTTTAAAAGGTTTCCCATGTTGCACGAATGCATTTCAGCATTAGAAACCCTACTCTTCCTTCATTATATAAATATAAAGTATTATTCTAATCTAGTAGGCTTTTTCATAAATGAATTTCTTCCACATTTCGTGGACATCATCTTATCTTTATCTCATGAATCATCCAAATAAACTCTCAGATCACTTGGTGTAGCCAAAGGATCTCTTCCCCTACGCTCCCCCCCCCCCCCTTTTACCCCAAAAAAGAAAACCCAAAACACATGCCCAAATTCAACCGAGTCTCAGGTAGAATAGCCCTAATGGGTATTCCTATGCTACTTGAGCACAACATGATATTCACAGAATGAAAAAAGAAAAGAAAAGGTAGAAACACATACAGATTCTGGAAACATTTGGGTCTTCATCTTGAATCTCATCCGCAGCTCTCAAAATGGAATCTATGTCCCTGTTGTTTGGAAGCGATGATGGGACATTTGCAGCAATGCCACTCTCTGGCCGGCCATATGCATCAGTACCGGTCCTTTCCCTACGTAGTGCTGCACGCACCAACCGCTCCCACAAGGCCTCAACTTGAGACATCTCCTATACTACAAAGATAACAAGATTTTAATAATTCAGCTCAATTTAAAGATTTTAACAATTCAGCTCAATTTAAATTCATTTTATCTCCAAGACTAGGGAGCACAGACACGTCATTTTGGGCACACTGTCAGTGGCGGATACGCCTGGGAGACGAACACGCTACGGACACGTTAAAATAAGTGTCCAAGATTTTTTTATTGTTAAATTTTTGCGGGACACGTTGGGGACATGCAGAACACACATAGGACACATTGGTGACACGCGGCTGATACGCTCAGGACATGTTGGGGACACGCTGGAGGAAACGTTTTGAGATTTATTTTCAAATTGTTGAGAACTTTTCAGATAATTTTATAATTAAAAGTTATTTTTATAATTTTAAAGGGATATGAGTTACAATCATAACATAAAAGAAGTTATAATCATTACATTAAACATAGGACATAAATTAACATATAAATTTGAATACGAATACGATCTTATATTCAAATGGATTTAACTTTTAAATATGAAAATAATGCGAAAAAAAATAGAATTACAAAATTAGGACGCTTGAAAATTAATGAAAATTAGTGTTACGAAATAGAAAAATTTTGAAAATAAAATTTGTAGTAGTCATTGATTGTTGGATCATAGATGTTAACGTTGAAGGTGTTTCGGTATATCTTATATTGTACTGTTTACACAATGATATCATGATGTGAATTTTTAGAATTAGAGAAATGATGAATGAAAATATTATTATGATAATATTTTTAATTTTTCACATGATTATATATATATATATATATTATTCAACCTATGGCCAACGTGTCTGTATCCTGCTTTTTTTAAAAATTCAGTGTCCGTGTCCGTGTCAAGACTACGTTCACATAAACAATAACCTCAGGTATGAATTGATCAAAGAAGAAAATTTTTGTTATAGAAAATCGGCTAAAATTATAAAACAAAAATGAGCAGAAAAAAATTTTGAACAAGAAAATGAGAAATGCAACTAGTCTCACTCAACAGAGTCCCATAAACTACTATACGACTCTGGTGAGGTGATTTCTATATTGATGCAGCATAGTATTTCTTTTCTTCGTTGCAAACGGAAGCTTACCGGATCGGAGATCTCGCCTGGAAGTAACCGCGAATTTGCCGGAGTTGTCAATCTATCCACAGAGAGAGAAGAGACCCTAGGAATTGAACTGAGAGAAAGGAGTTGAATCGTTGAGATCGGTAAAAGGAAAGGGAGAGAAGCGAATTTGAAA